AAAGGCAATAGAAATAGTTAATGGAATATTTATCGTCCTTCTTTAATATATCAATAAATTGCATAGGTTTTTGCTTTACTATATAGAGATATATAGATAAAATGAGTTCAAACTTAGAATAATGAATCGTTATAATGGTAACTAATAGAATCCTTGACGTTTAGATGTTTTATACTGTGCTTTTTCCCAGTCCCAAAATTGTAAACTAGTTTGAAAAACATAAGAAATTCTAAATTAAACCTCTACTATATTCTACTCAGACCGACTTACGAGCTGTAGAATAGGATTGATGATAGGATTTTAGTGTTGAATCATTATTCTTTGTGTCTACGAAATGGAAGGATGACTGATTGTGTTGGATAATAAAAATAATTGTTGTTCTTATATATGACTTTTTTTGTTTTTCAATCTAATATAATCTAACAACGATCAATGCATCATATAGATTAAACCGATTGTAGATAAGCTAAATATAATAGCGTCGAGTGATAAGGGATTGTATTATCACGCTATAGTTTTATAAGAAAAGGACTATAAACAATTAAAAGGACTAGCGTAAATAAATAGAAGTAAAATACTGTCGATAGTCTTTATCAACATGAATAGATAATGAATATGAGAAGTAATTTGCTCAACTGCAAATAGATTGTTACATTGATACACGGATTAAAGTGAAATTGAAAAATTTTTAATTAGTTAAGAAATAATAAAGTTTAAGTTAACTTGTTAATACTTGATTGTCTTAAAGTTTGGAAAGTCATAGCTGTAGCTAGCCGATGAGAACATACTCGCCTGTTTACTCACTGACAAGTCCTCAATTAACAAGTAAAGAAAACTTAAATACGTAGGTATTAGAGCTTATGAATAAATGAACAGCTCTTATTGTGTCTTGTCGCATAGGCATAAGATATCCATAGCTCTAATTGGCTAAAATTTTCAGCTATCGTTAGTATGGAAATACGAAACATAAATTACTTCGATAGTAACAAGACGCATCTCCTTTCATCTATTTTGTTTCTATTTCCTTTCGAAGGTATGAGAAGCAAACCGAATTAGGGTGAATCCTGATTTAAATAATGCAGCACGTAAAGTTTCGTTTTTATGAAATAATTCTACAACATAGTTATCTACAGCTAGTAGATTAATAAATAGAACATCTGTAATGATTTCAGCTAATTGTAGTAGTACAGTAGGGCAGCTAATAGGATGAGACGGCGTACTTGTACTTTTTTCGGTATAAGACTGTGTCACATTAGGGAATTACTGCATTTTTGTTAACGCAAATTTGGGGTTACGTAGGCGAACCAATAGTAATAGCAGGAGACTAACATTCGATCATTACAACATCATTTACTCTGATCTGGTTTTACGGTGAAATTATGATCTTAGATTTGTAAATTTTTTCGACTATTGCATTTCTAATCAATCGTCGATCGTTTTCATAAATTATTCTTGAAAAGAAGATATATATTCATGATCTAGTAGTATCATAGCATCTTTAAAGTTAATGAACAATTTAAATTACTATCCGAAATTGCCGTATGGCTCCTAATTTTGAAGTTATTATTGCAGCCATGATGGAACTAAAATATGATACTGCATACGTGCTTATGGTCTTGTTGCGGTAATATCGTAATGTCATTAATCTTCGAGTTATTAGCAGATCAAAGCGATTTTAATTGCCGATCTTGTATTGTCATATGACTGCTAGCTGAACCAATCAATTTGTCTCTAATCCAATCGTATTACTTTGCAATAGTTATTGCAATCTGATAGTAAATTATAGAAGTAGCATTCGAACAGTACAACAATTACGGTACTTATTCAATATTATACGTTGTATTGCCGTTAGGCTTAACATTAAGGTTAAATTCTTATTTGATATCGTAATCACTAATCTGCGCTGCAATAGAATACAGTGGTTACGTAGTTTAAAAAGATCATTGGGAACGCAAGTAAGCCTGACCGTATACTCATATATTAGGCTTGACAATAATGTTGCTACTGTGACTTAATAGGTCATACACTATGGAGTTTATAGACGGATACACCGAGTAAGTCGAGAGTTCTTATTAACCTTAGTTCATAGATATTAATACAGTTTGAATTTTATTGTAATAAAACTCAGTTCGGCTTTAAAATCCAATTAATTGGATTAATTATGAACTTTGAGACTTTGCTTTACTACATTCCTACATTATTAAAAATTACATAGGTTGGTGTATGTATAAAAATACCCTAGTTATCATTGTTCACTACAGAATCGTATTATATTGATTGTTTTCACTGTATATTCGGTAAACATAGGGTAAATATAGTAATATTAATGTTTCCATTGCTTTTAAAATCTAATTCAGTTATCGATTCAGATGAGTCTGATCTACTCTCGATCTGGAGGAAAAATTATATCGAAATTGATTTGTTATTGCTTTGGCATTGTAATACTACCATAAATTGAAGACAAGCGAGCATGAACAGTGATAGTGCTATATATGATTTGATGTTGTACTTCTCTCACTTAGATTTTTAAATTCGTAAATATATGCGTACCGTATCTTAATCAAAAATATTAACGAATTTTTTGATTTCATACGAAGTAAATTCTTGCTAAAGTCAAGATAATAATACAACAGAATATTTGTTACGATAATATTCTTTGTCAACTTTTATATGATCATGTTCATGACTTATTATACCCATCCAGTCAAAGAATTTTCAAATTGCATGCTCATAGATTTGATTAAACGGTGCTAGGTATTTTAAGATTAACATGATAATCTATGTTAGTTACCTTTGATCAGATGTTTTCGAAGACTGACTTGGTGATGGCGTTTTCTCTGGCGATTTTACTGATTTGACGATCATGGTAGTGGCATCGTCCGATAAAATCAGAATTACAAATAAAATTAGTGGATTAAGCCTAACTTATATTGTTTTTACGAGAAACAAGTATAAATACATGGTGGTTATCTTACGTAGTTTGTTATGTTACTTTAAATGAAAATGACACATGTATATATTAACTGCGTTGCCTAACCGTACGTTATCTAAATATTGATAAAGGTATTCGTTTTGATATTGAAATAACTTACGTGCATTTGCGAATTTATTAAATAATGGCTATTATATAGAATGATCGTATTGAAAATTTATGCAAGAATGGATAGTCTGAGTAGCTCAATAGTCTGATCATGTAAAATTATTAGGGAGTAATCACATTTATTTGACTAATCCAGCAACAAAAGATGATTAGGATTAAATCTACAGTATACGGTCCTACAGATACGGTAATTTAGGAACAACGAAATTTTTAAATATCGGCACGTTCAAAAATCATAGCAACATATGTTTCTATAGAAAATAAAGCATAAATTTACGACTCCTGTTAAGTATCAGGCAGTAATTGTTATTCTAAAGGTGAAACTTCCGCTTAAATCAATGAATGGTCTAAATAACTCTTATACTTATAGGAGATTACAATTTTATTTTAATTATAATGACATACTCGTATATAATAAACAAATTAGCAATGAAATAATCTTTCAATATCAATATTCTTACAGTACTCTCAGTTAACTAGCAGATTGACCTGAATAATTGAGTACTGAAAGTTACAATATCATGAGAGAACTAAGAATTATCCATCCTAGCTATCAATTATGTTTTATGTATTGGCAAAGATATTGAGGCTAAGATCTGAAATACTTTGTTGCACATTAGGTAATAAAAAGACAATAGGACTGCCATTAATATGATATACGAATATGATAGTTTATCACCATTAGCGGAGAATTAAGCTTCTAATCTGTCTTTTATTTGCATTTAATGAAAGCAAAATACACTGTAAGAATCAATAAAAAGATGGGTATGTATGGCTCAAAATAATATCACAGCTTAGGAATAATTTAGATGCAGGTTCAATCTACTTGAATGATTTCCTTGCTAGGTATTTTAAACTGAAAGTAAAATTTTTCTTTAATTACCAGAATACCTATAGCTGGATTGAATAATATCGGATCTTACTGTAAATAAATTCACTTTAGCTAAATTGTGTTACTATCGATAACGAGTGAATGAATCAGAAGTTATCACTTAATCGTAAAAGATTGGTTCATGACTATTGGATAAAATCTATTGTGAGCACAAAACTAGAATGGACTAGTTATCTTGCTAACTTTACTAATGTAGCCGTATATTCATGCTTTAATCAAGGTACTAGGAATTTATGATTTGTTACACGATACTCGTATATAGCGGAAATAACTAAGATAAGCATAAATAGCAAATCTATCAATCCATACGTGTTGCATTAATATGGGTTAGTACGCGCCATAGTATAAATTGTAATAAATTAAGTTCAGATTTACCTTTATGATCTATGCTAAAAGACAATAGATTAATTTTAATTTATGGGATGTTACAATTGAAAGTGAAATGCAATAGGTTAATTGGTATTCTACTTAGCAGAGATATGACGTAATAAATATGTTCTTTTACTTTTAATATCGGTTACCATTAAGGGATTATAAGTGTATTAATACTGTTGAATCCAGATATAAATAGAAAACTGAGTCTAAGTGAATACTAATCTATGGAAATATTGTTAATGTTCTATAAACGTCATTAGACAATAGATTATTGTCTATTATACGAAAATATAGTGATGCTATTGAGGATAAAATGGATACTGAGTTTAGCAAGATCGATTAAGATCACATTTCGAAGTAAGATTTTCATCAACCTTAGCAATTTTAAGACATGCCTGTAACTTTAAATAATTCTGAATCGGTTTGAAAAGGATTCACAGCGTTGTTGTTATTAGTTTAATCAATAGTGGATTTAAATTATAATTTAGGAGAGCATATGCGTATATCAAAGAATAAGATATACAAGCTGCTAAATAACATAATGGCTAAATAACGAATTCACATAGTCTGATATTTAAATCATATACCACCGTAATTCTTAAATTTTATTGTATGCGCATATTTAGATTGAATTTATTTAAACTGATTTGGATTCGCATCATATAAGGTGCTGATAAGATTTTTCTTGTAAAGTATGTAAACGTCTTTGATGTATGCTATAAATTTATACAGACGTTTGAAATATATAGTGGAAGTAAAAATTTGTTCGGTAGCGGTGAGTCAAGAACGATCGGTTAAATTTAAGCAAATTTTAAGCCAACTTGTAAGTAATAAAAAAAGGAAAGTATTCGATTTGTATTTATCCAAAATAAGTTAATCACTGTGATCGATGGATAGAAATGAATACAAGATGAAAAAGCATCTAATCTAAAGCTAAAAATATTCCCAGGATTAGAGTTGGAACATTTAGTCGATGTCTTATGCTTCTACAAAGATTTAATCGTAATTGAGAATGTTGATTATTCCAGCACTTACCTCGGCGTAATGATAGCGAATTGTAAGAATTAGAAGCCATACGCTGTTCATCGTTGTCATTAATTGCCTTCTGTTTACTTTTTTGTAGCTTTATTTGATGTTCCAATTGCGTTAAACTAAAGAATAAGCTTAGGATAGCCTTAAGGTCACCGTTAACAATATCTAAACAAGTAAGCAAACCATATCTATTAAGTAGGTTGAATCTACTATTGAGACCTATTATCTTATAATTTTCATTCATTAAATTTAATAATTTTTATTACAGATATATGTCAGTGTAGATAGCAGTCCTTCTTTTACTCTTGGTATACAGTATTATATAACTGTACGGTATATTGTGATATGATTGTCAGTAGAGCTTTAGGAATGAGAACATAAACTAAATGTCAGTTTTATTGATCGCAGCATCTATGCTGACTTATCGAAACTGTTTATGGCAAGATAAATTAGGATTAATTAACCTTATTACTAGGACCTGTTTTAACCCGATCATTTAAAGGCTTTAAATTGATTAATATGATCATGTTATCGGTTTTTAAATACTAATTATAGCATAAGCATATTAATGCAGCCTTGTTTGCTGAAATTCATACGCGTGTAGAGTACTAGTATTCTCGTTAATATGCCTACATGTAGGTAGATCGTAAAAGTCCTTCTTTTGAACTACTTATATCGAATTACCTCCGATTTCTTTAGTTAAGATTAAATGCAATTATAATTAATATCAGTAAGTGGGAACGATGATGTTGATAAGGATGAATTATTGTTGATTTGATAGTAATATATCGCATTATTATACGCGTATAGCAGTAGTCGAATCTTTAACTTATTTGTTTTCATATTAATGATATTCAAATATAATCTTAAAGCTAATAAAATAGTGCCTGTGAAACAAGAGTAGCTTTGACAAAACATACATGTCATTCATCAATACTTCATCGGACTATTATGTAGACTACTATGATCATATATGCTAGAAAGCAATATATGTTGTACATGTCACATACTGTATTTGGGTGCCTTCCATCGAAAAAGTACCGGCAGTAGTATAATGCCAAATTACCGTAGTAAACTGCATTAAATTGGTATCTTCTATATACTCATCAATTTATAATTTAAAGTAAACTAATTTCATTTCTTAACATAAAAAAAACATAAATAACATATCTCTGTCATTTTGGGTTATTCGTGGTCACTAGTTACTATTTTTATTAACTATATTTAGGATGCAAGCCTTACGCCGTGGTAAGTCCTTTTAAGACACTTAACAATAAGTGAAATTATCGACCTATGACTTATAGTAGTTGTATATTTTATAAGTATAGCATGATCAAGTATTTTAATACTTTATTCAAAATAAATAACTAGCATTATATAAATTTAGCCTAACCACGAGTATTTCTAGCTGATAATAATTTTATTAAGTAAACTTAAATATTCAGAAAGAAATAGTACATTCTGTAATATAATCCAAAACAAAGCTAACATGAGTCAGTGGCAGGATTTAATATCATCGCAATTTTCCTTTATCTGTATCACATTGAATAATTTTTAGCTTGTATAATTATCTGTGTAACCTGTACATACCGTAGAGTCTAATACAAACTGTACTGTACACAGCTGAGTACTGTAGTTACTGGAGGACTGTATGCTGTACAGTACAGTGTAGTAATTTACTATCACTAGCTTCGTCTTTCGTGGAGTCCCGATGACGATTCACGAGATTTTAGTAGTGTAATGATAAGACGAAATTCATCACATGATAAGTAAGGTAGACTGTACTTAGCACCTTTATTGTTAAATACCCGGTTATTAATAATAAAGTGCCAGTTACAATTATACTGTTCTCTCGGAGTAATCTCTTACTGTGGAATATACAATATGTATTATCTAAGCATCGATAACTGATCAATCTAGGGGAGACATATACTGTACTGTGACAGTGTTATATACTGTAGTAGAGTAGAAATATCTATGTTAGGAAAATTCTGTTAGCCTATCCTTATTTAGTTAGCTTCTAATTTGGATATACTATGTTTTAATATAGCACTGACTTTTTATGACAGTGACACATACACATAACTGAAATTAATAGTTATAATAGGGAATGCAAATCATCTACTTACAGACGAATCATTGTGATTGTAACTTACTTATGGTAGATTGTAAATTATCGTGGAAATGTTCCGTGATAGGACATATCGTAATCTGACTATTCTGTATTAGTCATCAGATGTCTATGTTCGTAAATACTGTTGTCTGCATTACGGTAGCAGTAGCTAAAATTAATATCTAATTCAGTAAATGATTCCAAAGTTAATCGTACTAACTATGACTCATGAACTATTGAGGAAGAGTATATAATTGCAGTATATCGTATAAGAAAGTCGATTCTTAAGCTTAGTGTTTAACGTACAATATGAGGCGTCTAAGTTTTTGTGTAGTCTGCTAGTAGAGCAAAAGTGTTTCTGATAGTGCAGATATCGTTCCTTGATACATGGTTCAAGGAATTGACTTATTGATCGTACATTACGTTATCTTGTTGCAAAGCTGTTTTGTGACATATACATTATACAGTAGTTACTGTAGTCCCTTAACGAGAAGTAATTGTCAACGTTAAGGTGGTGCTGCAGGCAAATGTCGAAGAGGACAAAATGTAGCAATAATTTAGGTTTGTAGAAGTTTAGTTTTGATTTATAACAAGTTATACAAACGATCGATTTTTTAAAGATAACCCTAGTTTTGCTCCTAGAAATCGGTAAAAACATAACTTAAAATTATCTTACCTGTAGCAATACCATAATGAATTGCAATGCCTTTCTTGTTAAGGTATTTTAAACAATTGATAACATTGGCAAGCTGAAAGTGAAATTGTTTACATTCAGATAATATCATGAATTGTCGTTTAAACGTAACGATTCTATGCTTTCCAACCGTGATAACACGCATGATCTACAATAATAACTTGTATTAGTTTAGGTGCCTATTTAATATAGTTCCTCAATTCCTGCTCGTGACTAATTCGTTTCAATTGCTCATGATGATAACGAATGTAAACTTAAAATATTCGAATCTAGTATGATATTACAGTGTTAGATATTAAAATATTTATTTTGCCGATGTTTAGGCACATATCGTATTATAATCAAGACAAAAGTATTCAATTTCCTAAAATGATTAAAAACTAAAATGGACCTCCCTGATTTGATAAATTTAGGGTAGTAGTTGATAGTATGTCAGTTTTTAAAGATTTCGAACGAATCAAACGCGTCAAATATCTCCCTTAAATTCAAATTACGGTGCTTTTTCAGTAATACTAACATTTAAGGTAGTTATTATCTATTTACTAAATTGATATTATTCGGTAGATAATTAGCTGTCAAGTCTGCTACAGTATACGGTCGATAATAAGGGATAAAATTGCAGTATACGATTAACTTTGAATTAGTATACTTTGAATCGGAGATTGTAACGATATATTTTTGGTACGATCCTATTTAACTGGCCTTTGCTGTATACAAGTAAATTGTAAATTAATGAATAACAATGGGAACATACCTTTTGATTTTGATAGTAGGGATTACGACAGACGTGTGGTATTCTTTCTCCAACTATGAAAAGAAGTTAACATTTTTTAGAGCTTATGCTGGTATCGTAAGATTATTTTCGCACCGGAAATCTAATTTTGCAGTATGTCATAGAAATAAATCTACACAGCTGAAATTTTCTTACCCTAACTATTAAAAAAGAGATATGCGTACTACATGAAATTGTGTTCAATCTTCTACAGATTAATTTTTTATATTATACACAATACGAATTTGTATAACAGGTCATTATTACCTATGCTTTCCATAAGATTGATGAGGATGAGTCCTTTATTGATATCTTTCTGTAAATCATTTATCAGTTCAGGAAATTCTCTCTGAGCCAAGTAAGTATTAGCCCAGCCAACATAAATCTAAATATGAGAATAATTACAATAAAAACATTTAAGTAGTTGATAAAATATCTGATATCATTTTAATCCAACTTAAGCATAGAATTCCTCATAATAAGGATAATGATGTATTTTCAAAGTTGCGCTTTAGCGAACACAGCAATTTTTCAATCTGCTAGCAAAGCTAAGTTAATTAGCTATAGTAACGCAAAGAAATATCGTTTTAATGGCAGCCAAAATAAGGCTTTAAAGTAATATTAGCTATATATAATTTCTCTAGTAAAATGAGAATTTACTTTAAATTTTGTAGATAGTAAAAGCAGACAAACTTTGCTAATTTAGATTAACTAAATTGAAGCATGAAATAATTATAAAAACTATACGATATCTCCTTTCGTGACTTAAAGTAGTAAAATTTTATGACATAATAGAATTATTAAGCAATTAATGCCAGTAATATAGCATTGAAATTGCTCGAGTATATGAGGTTATAGACCTTCTTCTGTTCCTGTTTATCGATAGTTCTTGGTCTTTGACTGCGAGTAAAATTGGTATTCCTCTTAAACGTATCTCCTGTATTACCCTAATTCAAAGTAGGAGCAAGAGAAAGGCATTATTAGCTTTAATGAGAAGCAATTTAATTTTCATACTCAAATCCGAGATCGAAAGTCTTAGAAGTAGTCATAGTACACTGTTATTAATTGTTGCATTAATTTTGTGTTAACTGTAATACGTTATAGTATAGACCATCAGTAATCCATGTCTACTTCTATCATAACAAATTGCAGTAAATGAAGATGAAGCATCTGTCCTATATTCAGTCACCCTAGATGATTTCGCAATTCTAGATTCATCGACACATTTGTAGACAATTACGGCACTCAAGAACAATTTTATGCAATTAATACGTGATATTTCTTGCAATTAACGTCTTCTTAAATTAATATACATATATATTTTTAAGTGAAAATAATATCAATATAATCTTGGAGCTAGTAGATATGCTTAGATATTCAGCTTTTTTGAAACATATGATTAGCTATACTTGCAAGTAATAGATATATATGGTAGAACCTATATGTATGTGCACCGTACCTTTATGAATTACACAATTATAAATTCTAAGTGTAGAATCGGTACTAAATCTGATTTGGCTTTGGGACGTGAAATTCTTTAACAGCTATCATTAACTTAATCTTATACATGCTTATAAATAAATAACTAAAACAAAATAAGCGATTAAGGTAAATTACATGCTTTAAGGATAGTGCGCTTCTGATAACAAGGAGATATAGTTAACTTGAAGCTATTATGGAAACGATATGTTTGACGTAGTTTCGGACAAAATTTGTAGTTGCCTTGTTGATTATTAGCTATGTGCGTAAATAACTTATGTAGATGATACTAAGGCTATATTCATAATATACACATAAATAAATAATATTCTCGATAAAAGATTGAGACAACTAAAGCACAAACTATTTATGCTACTAAAAATTTAAAACTATATTTTGCAGTAGAGGGAAATTACAGTCGGCTAGAAGTACTATGACGTTAAAGCAAGATGGAATGATTGAAATAGCTTCCTTGATCTAGGAAGTGTGATATCTTGTTAAAAAAATGTTTTCATACAGCATTTGAGAATTAGCTCGACCGATTTATTATAAATCTGTATACCAAATCTGCATTTCGTGATTTTTAATCCAGTTAAACCTAATTAGGATTACATGGTTGCCATTACGGTACTTGAATATCAAAGTCATGTCTTTAATGATAAATTGATATAGAATATTATACTTTTTTTCAATTAGTATCCCTTACACAAGTGCGAAAAAATAAGCGAAATGAATTTACTCAGTATAGCTAATCTATTGGCTGAGGAATCAAAATTACAATATTCGATATGTCTGCTTAACCAACTACATTTAATTTCTGTTAAAGCTGAATACCGTCAACAAAATCAATTTTTATGTAACAATGTAAATTTCTTTGTTGTGATATCCAAGCGGATTGTTCTTCATTCGTCTGCACCTACCTGGAACTGAGCCATATTCTTAATTATAATCCTTGGATGATATTTACGATATTTTTCTAACTTATTGGACTTATTATCGATGGTATTCAAATAACCGCCAGGTCTTCTCTGTTACCACACTATATGCTTTACTTTGATAAAGTTGATTACATCTATACTAAAGACAATTGTTAAACCTATGGACGTCCAGTAATTTTTAGATGACTAATTTTCAAATAATTAAGAATCAATTTAATCTCGATCCGTACTTCAATAGTACTATGACCTCGATTAAACTATGTGCTTTTAACATGGTTCTGATATAATAATTAATTGCTGTAGCTTGGTACTTTATAGAAATATGCCATACGTACTGTATTTGTTCGTAATATAAGATAATCGTAACAGATGGTTTTAGTGAATGATATATAGCTATTATTTCAAGAGCTATTTGTCATATGGTGCGTGTTAGAAATGATAACAATTTATCGTTAGCATCTACACGAGGTACTACAGAGTACTATAAGCTATACAGTTGGCTTATTGATATTAGTAATAATATTTTTACAAATCATACAGAATCACGAAGAATATTATTGGATTATAGCGATAGTAATCAAACTGATAACCTTGTAATTTTTACTTTTGTAAAATTAAAGCTGATTAAAGTGGCACCATAAACGGAATTTCATCATAAATAATTGTGAAAAGTAATCAATATTATCGACACCTTCTCCTATAATACTCTATATATTGCTACAAGATGGTCTAATTGTTAGCATGGTCTTATATTGAGATTTATGATTTCACCAATTATAGTTCATTGCAACAAAATAAAGGATTCTCGTTATCTTACCCTGACTGTCAAGATTTAATCAGGCCGTGTTTGTCTAAATGAAGGAAGATATCTTAAATCCCAATTTAGTATATTATTTTTTAGCTCAATGCAATAAGGTTTATCTTTCTTAGTGTTTGGCTAAGGCCAAGTAAGCCTGAACAAGTAAAAAATATTTTCCTAACTACATTATTGTTCTATATTTCTATATCAGGCAGATATTAAAGGCATGATTGCAAAGGACAACAGCTACAGATGCCATATCGAATAATTTAGATCTTAAGAGATAGAAGATATAAAATTGTGTAACCATTAGCAATTAAAAGGACGACTATAGAGAATTTTAGCCATTGCGGTAATAAATGTTAGATATTTCAGCTTGTAAAAATATTTTATTATATCGTTAAAATAATATTTTAACTAATTCCTAGTAGCTAAGGTGAGAAGAGATATCTTCACCTTAGTCGAGAAAGACCACCTAAATTATTGTGGATCTTAAAAAAAACAATTACAAAATAATGTCATCAAAGGTGTACGAATTCATTCAAATAAAGCAATTTTAGAAATTAATATTCCCTATTCAGAATCATTTTATTTAGTTGAGTCATAATGACAGCTCATTTTAATAAAAATCTATACATCGTCCTAAAGATAACAAATTGTTCCCATGAACGATATTGGTAATATAAATAAGTAATAGATAATTTTATCACAATGTTACTACTAATAACACAAAAATAAGTAAATATAATGTGATTTATGTATATTTCATCTTTTACTTGCACATTGATACAGTAGTATATCCTGATCAATCAATTTCTAAAATAGCCTTATCTAGGTCAAATAGATTGCAATATTTGGTGTGTTATTATTACTTATCATTCAAGCAGTTAAAATTTATTCTTGTTCTATCATTTCATGATGTAAATTAAAGTATTTGGTCTCCGATAGTCGTTTTATTGGAGTAAAAATTGATGATAGAATACCTAACAAATCGAAATGGTGACTCTGATCTTATGCGCTTGACAAATTAGTGTTTAAGCGTCTATGGGACAATACAGCTACGATACAATTATTCGAAGTATTTTTCATCAAGGGCGTGTCCCGGCCATATGGCCACAATGACAGATGAGGTAGCGTATGTTGTACTTTTAACTTAATTCACAATAATTGACAACACTTATAGTAGGCGAGTTGCCACAATTTTTATCCACTTCTGAGTCGCTGTGCTAGATTTATGCTCGAAATCTGCAACAGTTACAGTATTGAATTGATTATGTTATAATATGCATAAGTGATCATGCTGACTGGCAAGTTGCTGTAAAAAATTTTGAATCATTTTGTAAATTATTTGCTCTAAGGACGCAAGAGTCGACTGGCATGTCTTACCAAGAGATTGCTACTTATGATCATAAAAATCGGGAATAAAAAAAGTGCTGGTACTACTCTAATATATCCGTTATAGCAATAAGATTATGAACATTTTTAGCGCTGTATGGGTGTATAAGCAAAACATTTTAATTGGGTCATGAATATAATTTGCAAATTCTACATTTTGAGTAATTTAATCACAGTACGAACATATGGAATACGAGTACTTGAATAAATTGTTCAAAGAACAATTTATGACATCTAGTGTAAGCTGCAAATAGCTTGAATTCGCTTATTTAGAAATACAGAAGTTTCTTTGTAGATAGGATTACGCTATGTAAAGATATAGCGATGAATTTAGGTATATTTTTACTTGTAGCTGCTAACAATATGTGTTTATGTTACATGTACAGTATCGTTAGATCGCTTAAATCAGCTACATTTAGAGTACAAAACGAGAAATTTCTTTCGTGAATGCTTCATATATTCTCAATTATTTTATAAACAGGGGTTAGATTAAACTATGCAGGCGTATTGATTTAGCCTTGTAAAATATTATTGATTATAATTTTATCGGCACAGTACACTTAGGGCTTATAATGGATAGAGTCAAATAAAAGATTTTTAGTTATCATTTTTAAGTCCACAAGCAGGTTGAATATCTAAATAGAACCGTAGAGACTTCAACATAACGAGATTAAGATCTGTGTACTGTATAATATATATAATACAAGAAGTATCTGCTAACACATTGTATTAGAATTTACTTACTCTGGAAATAAAAGAAATAATCATAAAAACTACTATATCTTGCAGCTTTTCATTCATTTAGTTTATTGCTAGGACGATACTTACTAGTTCCAAGATTAGATGTAGAAGTGATTTTATTATACTTAAACAGAACCAATTGAATATCAGCTTTGTTCCATTTGGAATACGATTGAATGCGAGAAAAGTAAATACTATTCTAAGATATCAATTTGACCTCGTTTGCTAAAATTCTGATCATGATATTGATAAGAAACCTATCATAGTCAAGTGTATACTAGTGTAGCTCTATCAGGTGGAAAATTAAACGACATTACTCATCTAGTCTTAAGTGAAATTGATTATTTTTTAGAAGTTATAGTTGCATTGACAACTTTCATCGAATTTGTCAGGGCCATTAAGTAGATAATTATACATGATCAAACTGTAAACAATACCTTTATTAGGTTGGCGAAAAATCAACGAGTATTATCATAAGTCATCATCATGAACTGGCTTAGGAATAAATGACAATAAAATTAACTTTAGTAATGTGAATAAAAATCATAAATGACAGCTAGTATTACATACGCGTATAGTTATTATTTTGTACGAAGGATATAGTAAGAAACGGTAATACGGATCTACACAGTACTTATCTCTAATCCTCATCATCAATTATAATAATCTCGAAGGAAATATTTAATCATTTTTTTGTAAACTGCGTTGAGTGCATCTGAAGCCCATATGAAATCTAAGTGATCGTAGCTTTCAGTCACATCATGGCATACCAAATTCTGTATTCTTGACTGTAACCATGAAACATCTCGGGGATCAGCTAGCCAATCCCGTCTACCAGAACACAAAATAGTTGGCACGTTCATTGTTTTAATGGAATATTGCGGAGGCATAGGCTACATTTTAGGGTGAAATAAAATAGTAAATAGGTGCTGCGTACATTACTATCTTGAATCCTAATATGGTAAGAACTAAATCTGTAGTAAGTCAGATATACAGTAGGAATTCAGAACACAATTTGCAACGTATGACTAAATGGGTGAGATCACATGGCTTTACTATTTATATCATCTTCTCTACCTGTCCGTAGTATTTAAGATTATCGCTCGGATTTCCGTAGTCAAACATTTGAAAACGATGGCTTAAAACTCCCTATATTTGAAATGTCATATAATTTATAAAATAATACTTGAGCGATATAAGATTATTAACAGAATATTACCTATATTAATATAGTTTAATTCTTTCTTAAAATGATAGTATCTTAATTTTATAAACAGCTTTGCTCTTATGGTGACTATTCATGGTATAACTTATTATTTTATTATACTACTACAACTTACTAAATCTCTATTGAGCTAATTATGAGGAGAGTATGAGAAACCATGATTATATACATAGTAGCATACTTGAGCAAAATGGACCATGTTCCTTACAGACGTTCCAGCCGGTGTATGAGATAGGTATATGGGAAGTCTAGTCTAAGATACGTAAGAGGTTAGAAGATATAATATAACTAAGAAGTAAAATACCCACTGGAAAGGTATGAGAAGATTATGTGTTGTAAAATGTAAAAGATTAATGAGATATGAAAGCTACTATGGCAACTAGTGTACGAATTATAAATAATTCGGTGACTGATATATTACTATAAGACTAGCTATTATATGATATTAATGTATATATAATATTGGGCTAATTTTGATGTTAAGTTATCCTAAAATTATGATTAGGTCATTGTATCTCTTCACGATAACTGGTATACTTCGTAGTAAATTATGAATGAGGTACTTAGGCCTGAATCTAAACTGCTAATTTTAAAAACATGATATTATTTAAGAATTATAAATGGTTATACAGCTTCAATAACAATTTCTTAAATGATGGATCAAGTCGATAGTTATAAATTTTGCGTTCTCTAAGCGTAGATATGCTTGTATTGTGTGTCGGACATTCAAATATGTACTGCATATAGCTGGAATATAGTTATATATTCGTTAGTTATCTTCAATACAATGCAGGCATATTGTGTACTCGCTGCATAATGAATGTAAAATGGTAGCTCATATATTTTGATGGGTCCTAGTGGTATAATTCTGTAAGTACTTGCATTCCCATGCATTGATATGTTTATGTGCTGCGTTATAAATAGCCTAAAATGTAATTGCAGATTACATATCTTCACTAATAAAACTAGAATTTAAAATATGTAGTAGTAGATTTATAATGCTGAATCTAAGATAGAAATGCGTATTATTTAGATTATGATTATGCATTAGTACCATATTATGTTTATGAATAGAGTATAGTTTTACATTAAATTATATCTCCTATTGCAATTCATCATAATTCGTTAGAGCATGAGATTATTTAACCTCATAAAACAGAAGACTTTATTAGTACAATATTACGATTTCATCTTCATGAAATTTACCTTGTTGATTCCATTATGATCATCATATCCCGCAATGATGAATAAGATATTACTGCAATATGGATCCAATTTGCCGCGACACAGATAACTAGCCAACCACTGAAGGATAGATTTACCCGGCAAAAATTCGTAATAACCTAATAAATGGGATATCAGCTAGGAGTATGGCAATGGATCCCAGTTTAAAAATTGTATCAGGGTAAAAAAGTGATAGCCTATTTTAGTGCATTATAGTTACTGAAGTAAATACTATATCTTTAATTCGGGTTAATAGAAGATCGACATAAAATTCAAACGAATAGATCATCATAGTCTTAAATTTCGAAAGTGTGTGCAAACCTGAAAATCATAAGCGAAATAAGAAAGATATCTGATGGGACTTTTGATAGAGCCTACGTTAGCTACCGGAGCTAATGCTGCGAAATATTTAATTTTACTAGCCAATATATGATTAGAAGAAAAGGAAGCAAATGCAATCATTGTTCCTTGCGAGAAGCCGACATAATAAAGTTGCGATTGATGTGTAGTTCTTAGCGCAAATTCAATCATGGCGGGCAAATCATATTTTGCCATCTCGTCATAGCTGCCGTTAAAAGAATAAGCCATAACTATTAAAAATGCTACATCTCGACTTATACCTAATTTTTCAATGTTTATTTTTTGCTAGTTAATAATAATATACTACATTTAATAGATTTTTAAGGCAAATCTACTTTTTAATACTGTCCATGGAGAAATGAAGATTGATTGGATAATTTATTCATTTGCATATATTACCTCCAAGCCCAAAATTCCTCTTGGGAAGGTTTCAGAAAGACGTGATGACGAGAATAGATATTACCACGTACATTTCCTAGCCATACATCAAATCCTGCGTCAGCCATAATAAAGGCTAAACTTTGGTTCGGCAAATTTGCTACCCAATTAAAGCTAGAACCAAGTAGACCATGCTGAAGGAAAACTACAGGTTTAGCAGTTTTATTGAGAGCTGATTCATGTTTACCAGACGGAATTCTTTGTATACCTAAAACAAAACCATCCTTTGTAATAACCTTGTACTCTTCAACCTTGTAGCCATTATATCGAATTATTTGACTCTTTAATAAAATAAAATAAATTTAGATAACACATTTTAATATCATGAATACTAATATCAGATTATACTCGTATGATAGTATGATGGAAATTCTATTTTATTTATATATAGAGATTGACGTTTGAAGCTAATTTTTAGCTTAGTGAGGCCCATCATAAATTTAACATAGCGTAAAAGTGTCTTAGTAAGGAATGCTTGTAGTGTTATTCGAAATGAAATTGAGTTTCCGGTCAGTACTTTTTAGCACGTAAATAAGTCGAAAGTATGAAGTATATCACAGGAATGTCAAGAGCTAGAAGTTGATTATTTCTTTATTAATAAACTATTAATGGAATATAAAGATATACGTCAAAAAGCAAAGTTACGACATTACTAATTAACATTATGGCCAATTAAACAGAGTAAACGATATTTTTTAATTAATATTGGTCAACCAAAGTCATAGGAAAGGTTTTGAATACATTTACTATACACTGGTTATTCTACAGAAATTTTGACAAAGCGATTTCAAATGAAATTAAAATAAGATTCTAAATGATGCTAATGTAGTAAAACGGAATTATTTTGACCCTATTTGTAAGGATAAAGCTGTAGGATACTTAAATGACAGCTGTTCTTTAATTTTTTGTTGCAGATTTTCATGCAGTAATTGATGACTTCAATGGATCAAGAAAAATATTGTGTAGAGAGCAAAAGAGATTTATCATTTTGTCGTACCACATTCATGTTGACTTCTGGATCGGCTTGTGCCAACGTTGATGTAAAAGTGATAAAAAGTGTGATTAAACAGTAGATCATGAATTGATATAAATTTTTCGCGTCCATTTTCATCTAAAATATAGTGTAAGCTATGAAATCTAGTGTCAAAAATTAACAAATATATATACACTACTGTAATAGCAATACATTTGCTGTATGCAGGTCAGAAAATATCCTTAGCGTAGCGGTGTTATAGGATACAGTGAAGTAACGAATTCCTTGAAACTACAATAGTACTGTACTATTAGTTAACTTATTATGCACTACTCTATTGTATTATCTTAATATACAGTACGGTAAAATGACTAATGATGCAACTTTATTTATTTATAATGACGGTAAATCATTGTATATTTTTATAATAAAGTAGTTTATTTACAGTTAATTCTAAAAGTCCGCTTCGTACCGTAGAGGGGTTTCTAAAGAATAAGAGCCCCTGATTGTAAGATGGTTTACGTGATTTGGTTTACCGTGCAAATAATACCTAGACTAACACTACGGTCTTATTTACACTAATGTTGGTCATGTAATTCTTGATTAAAATTTTTTATATTACTTAGTTATGAATTATGATGTTTCTAGTTTTCCCTTATTAATTAATTAGTTAATACTTTCAAAAAGGATTTAAGCTGGTCGCATTATTAACGTTACGAGCATAGTAACACATATCAATTTCGGTATGTTGTAACCTTTATCTCTACTATTTGAAAAAATTTAAAAATTGGTATCAGGCTATGCCTTTAATTAACAGCGATTTTATTTCTTATTGCAACGGTGATATCTTTTTGAGTTGAACCAATTTCATTTCTGTGGTATGCCATGTAGCAATTCAAAATGCCATAACTGTAATTAGTCTTACGTCATTATAAACTAGCTATCAGACCGGCATGTATTGAAATTTTTTCTAAAATAAATTGCTATTTCTATAATCTAATACGTGTAGTAAAAGCGCTAATAATTTTTAAGATATAATCAAAGGTAGCATACTCGTACTTTAGCGTAGATTTCAACTAGCCATAGCCAGCAATGAAATGCAGGGAAATTCAGTACCTCTCAATCTTAGTTTGCACTGACAGTTTCAAATAATATGACTTTATCACGGATACTGTAGTTCGCAGCAGCCAATGCATCATTATTTAAAATTTTCGATTTAATAGAACATCATAGAATTGTACTGAGACATTAACCACATTAGATTAGAGAAATTTGTTGTTTAAAAATAAATTTCCATATAAAATTATATAATCAAAGCATACGTAGCTACAGACATAAGGCAGGTTTGATTATGCAATTCTTTGCTTAAAAAGTTAGTAACAGTAGTGTTTTAATTCAGTAAGCCTATAGGATTTTATTATTTCAAGCCTTTATCCTTCTTTAGTGCTGTGACCTTATTAAGAAGAGCTTGCCTTTGAGCTGGGTCCATTTTATTGATAGAGTCAGCTAATATATCATTTATTGCTTCACCGTTACTGTAAGTCAAGCTAAAAAATTGGAATAGTACAGTCAGAAACGTGATAAGGTACGAAAAAGCAGGTATTCTGATCTGGTAAGTACATATTTTTTTCTACGTTTGCATAAAAGTTAACTTACTCCTTTATTGTACGCGCCGCAAATTCACACCGTAAAGACCTCAAGTTCTTATGGATTATAGATTTTGATTCCTCTGCTTTCAATTGTTCTTGAACCCATTGGTAAACTGCTTCGTTATCATTCCACTTTCGATCCTAAAAATTAATTTTGTTAGAACTATTTTAGCAAAATCTGTATATTTTGTGATTACTATAACTTAAACTATAAAATTTATGCTAACAAACTTACCTCAGGTGCTGGATTATTTTCCTTAAACCAAGACTGTATCATCATAGATTGGTGTTCTACAGCTATCGTACTTTAGAAGGCATAAAAAGTGGCAAATATATTAATGATGCTGGCCTAGTTTAGTAATTTGCATACACTTTCAATAACGAAGATATTTGTTGTTAAATATGACTATTTTTAAAATTTTACGGGTTAGCCGCGCTGATCAGTTGTTTTATTTCGTGTTCGGCCAGTAATCGCTTCAACCGCCAATAGAAATATCTTCGGCTTGTCTTCCAGTCTAATATCTCCTACATTGATACCAATAGAGGAAGTTATCACTGAAAATTGTAGATGTCATCCATAATTAAGTTCTAACAAAAATCAAGCTGTTAAGGTTAAAAAGATATACCCGAATAACTCCCTTTTCACGCATTCTACCAGCAGTATCATGCAAGTCTGCAAACATTACGGCAGCCTATAGTAATAAATAGTCATTTTCCAAGCACCTGGATTTTGCAACATTTGTATTTAAAGAATGCCCAAAAGATAGACAAAGTCTAACCTCGTGGTACATCGGGGCTAGAAAGTTCTCACGTTCTAGCTTTTCATTTTCCAATTTCTTTCTCTCTTCAGCTTTTAAATCTGAATTCAAAACGATGCATGGTTAGGCTTATTTATAAATGTATCCACGTTAGGACCATAAATTACAAGTATTAAGTTACAAACTGCATAAATATAATAACTAAAATTAGCAAACCTTTGTTAAGGCATGCAGTAGATAACGAGGCATAATTCGCATCTAATCTGTTCATTGTTTTAATGATGTCCTTTTTCTTAAATTTGATAGCAACAGTGCCTTCTGGCTCTAAGACCCCTCCCCTAATTAGTTAAGAACGATAAAATTATTAAAATCATGGTAACATTTCCATGAAATAATATGCATAGTTGTATGATTAGACAGACCTGCTTTCTTTGTCAGCATACATTTCCATGTAATTAGGATTAATAGTAGGATCTAACACTACCCAAGCACCTCCTCGAAGCTCACCACATGGAGGGATATAAATCAAAATTGGTTGTTTATATTCTCTGAGAGCATCGACAATGTATGAACCAAACTTCAATATTTCATCAAACATATCTAATAAAAATTAAAGTCCCAAAGTTTATGCTCGTCATAAGCAAAATTATATTTGTGAGCAGAGTTTTAATTGAAACATCAATTTTAAGGTTATAAGTAGGAGCATGGACCTCTTTGTCCACCAGAAAATCCTCTCCAGTTGGCAAAAATCATTAACGGTAGCCCTTCTCGTCCAAAATCATTAATCGCCTGTGCCGTCTTATACGATGAGTCTGGGTACCATACCTGACCAGCCTGGCTCAAGATCTAAGTTTTTATTATTAGAAATACGATTTACTATCAACGTGGATAAAATGAATTTCTACAGAATTTTGAACTGGTAATTGATCCAATGTAATAAACACTTACCACTGCTTCAGATTCTGTATTTGCCGGATCAGCAGGAATTTCAGCTACAACAGCTCGCGTTTCCGCAGTAATAACACCCACAGGGATACCTCCCAATCTAATAATGATAGTTCAAGCATAAATAGATAACAAAATAAAAGCGTCACAATCAACAGGTTTTATGTCCATTTATTAAGATTACTCATTTAATAACTGAGCCCATAATGGAGACATAAACAAAAAAATGCGTCATAAACATGATATAACGCGCTGTGCATTATTTAAATTTACAGTAGTTGAATAATAGTATTCTCCAATTACCTGGCACGTCCAGCTATAACCGTTTGAGCCCATGGACGCTGAATTTCGATAAAGGAATCTTTATCGAAAAATCCACTAACCCACTGACCATCTAGCAATTATCGATAAGCTAAACAAAGTTAGGTTTCAGTCATAAACAAATACGACTACAATTTAACCTGACCATTATTTGCCTTTCCAGATAACATCCAACGTGCATCAAATGAACTTTTACTAGGAACATATCCAATTTCTCTATCAACTGCATCCCTAGACTTTAGTGGTCTAGCAATAGACTTATTATCCTAGATATTATCCCAAAATTAATATTATTTGTATGACTACACAAGAAGTCTCTAACTATTAGCTGTGTAACATGATGAGTATGATTAACCTTTGCAACGAATGAAAGCCATTTAACAATGCTATAGATTCCCTCAAAATCATCGTGTACAGTCAGATGCGAAACACCTGTAATTAATAACAATCATTGGAGCAAGCAAGTTAACGCTGAGATATCTAGTTCACGAACTTAAACTTCAATTCAGGGTTACCATTGTGATACATAATTTGAACCCCGCCGAGTTGAGCATTAGATGTATAAACTTGCCGGCCTAGGACCTGCAAATATCAGTTTTTAGTTTCCTTTTTCAAGTTTATTTTAATTAATCAGATCAATCATTGCCAACTATTAATAATTATAATTAATGAACCTTATTTAATGCCTGAGCTCCCGTTAAGATGATACTAGTATTCTCAGCTTGGATAACTCTTTGGCCAAGCCTTATAAGGTATGCACCAATACCAACTGAACGACAAGTAACCTACAGTACATAAAAAGAAATACAAATAAACAGGCTTAATCAAATATCTTTACGGCACTGACTCAGGCAAATCCCTGATATAAATAACAGCTGTAAGTTAACTTTTTACGATATAAAATTAGATAAGCAGCAGTTTCTAGAATAAATAATAACACGTGATTTATTATTTTACCAAGCTGATAGTGACGATATCTTTGTACGCCTGAGAAGTTTCGCCGGCGATCATTCCAGAACCGCTAAGATTTTCGACACCTAAGCCATCTTTCATTCCTTCATTTCAATTTAGAGCATAGGAAGAAGAAATAAATGGCACCGAATCAGATCGGTAAGTTGATGATTACGTGTACTGAACGGCTAGAGGGGAATTTTTTGAAATAGTACCTATAATGTCCGTTATTTTATAGCGCGATTCGCCTTCATCTTCAATCAGATCAGCTTTAACCGATTTAGCCTTGCTAAACTATAAAGTGATTGTATAGCAGGAATAAGACTTATAATAGAAAGGATTTAAAAATATATGCATGAAAATATTCATTATTACCTTGGCAAAATCTGCAGGTGTTAAGTACAAATATTTGAAGCCCTAATAAGACATGTTTGAAATCTTACTACCATAAAAAATAAATGTAGATCATTTCATTGTTATACGAATTCTCATGTTTACCCGTTCCGGATAGTTTTGATTCTCCCAAGCAATCTTAAACAAACTTTTAACTTCTTCAGCTAATCCAATTCTAGCTCCACTGTTAACAGATATATAAATACGCGGTATACCCAAACGTCTGGCAAGTTCTGAAGCTTTCTAAATAATTTAAATTATGGTCGAATTAAGCCTAATCTTTATATCAGTTATATTGCATAAATATAATGATCTCTTACCATGAACACTTCATCTTCTAATAGACCGAATGATCCAATATTAAGGGTGATATCATTAGCAATTAAAATGATCTATAAATAATAATTACAGCCATGTAAAGCTATTTGCGTATCCTTACATTTGATTTGAAATATAATAATACCTCTCTGCCTTCAGGACATTCAGGTGCAAAAAGTTTAATTTTCCAGGCTATCATGCCAATCTAAAGAAGTTATAAAATAAATTTTTCGTACAGAATTGAATTATAACTGCGATGCAGTCTTCTATGAACCTGATTCTCTCCAGGAAGTCTTTGTAGGACGATAAGTTGACCTTGATCATCTAAAACTAGTTCTTCACAAGATATCTAAAACAAGGCCGTTTGGTTAGTCTATTTCTAGATAGTAAATGAAACGGTAGCAACAACAAAGAGCACAAGACGAAGTTAAAAATGAATACCAAGACATCTGGCTTAGTAACATCTGAATTCATTCTTGCATACTCATCCCATGCGTACGAGACAGCCTAGTATTAAAATACCTTTAACATGACTTTTTCTATGTTATGCGTCGGTGTATATGAATAAATCAATATCAGTTTCATACCTGTTTAAACAGCTCCGGAAAGTCATAAACATACGTAGTACCGTACTGCTGAGCCTGATAGCGTTTAGACTAATTGCATTGAAATATTATGAGATTAAAGGATGTTGAAACATTTTTTGTAATCCGTACTAAACATTCCGACACAACTAGAATAATACCTGTAAGTGATCCTTCGTCATGTAAGGGACACTTATAGATAGACCATGCATTGGTCCTTGGACTTTTCCATAGGATTGAAATGTTACCTACCATTAAAGTATACGGTAATTAAGCAGGTAAACACATAAAATAATCTCTGCTTCAGCTTTGCAATGGTTCAACTTCAAACTTACTCTTCCTGTTCTGTTATCAGTATATTCCCGATATAAATATGTACTGAGGAAATATCCGGATTCACTGTTAAGTACTAATCGGAGCCCAATTTGATCCGCATCTGGTGAAGATCTAATAAAGTAAATCGATAAGTTTAAGTGGGTTACGTTTCATACAGGTTTTTAACTCTAGAACGCATGTATAACCTTATCGTCATTTTGATTTCGGCTTGTAAGACTCTGAGACTTAATAATCTTTTGCCGTATCTAAGGACCATGCGGCGAACATTTTCTTCGATCTGTATTACAGAACACATACTTCGTAACGAATCTATCAACACAAATACTTATTATATTGCGATATATTCGTCGCCTTACTTTCGTTGGATCCATAATGACAGTAGGCACAAAATTAAGGAATATATGATTGCAATCAGTGCCTCTATACTGTAATGAAAACGAAAGTTTCAGGAATTAAGAAATTACAAGTCAATTTTTTAATTAAGGATGTATAGTTGACTTGCCTCTGGGGATATTACAAGTACTTCCAAGGTATCTAAAGCTTCCAGCAAGTATCTTTCTCCTTCTTTTTCTAAGTATTCGTAAGATGCATCCTGAATTTTGAAACAATATGGTTTCAACGTCTGTAACAGTTAAGACTATACGTAATATAGAGTAATAAAATTGTTTGGTAATACCTTTGTTACAAAATCGGAATGTCTAATGATCATCCGGATAAAAAATCGACGATCGGTAACAGATTCATTTGCCGACTTAATTTGAGATATTACAAACAGTCCTTTAGAAAATTTTAGTAAAGTGTTATATACACTGAAATCTTTAAGTTTGAATGAACCTTTCTCCCTTTACCAAAATAGACATGCATGCGAGGATTATCTGTTGTTATATATGCTATATCAAAAGCTTGCATTCGACTAATTTCGAGTTGAAAAGCTAAGGCTGGTTCTAGGTGGCGGTAGATTGTATCTTCTTGAAACTGAAAATAGAATGAATAGGCAACATATATTCTTATTTATGCGAATAAAAGTAAAAGAACATGTCAATAAAGATCTTACAATTGTATTGGCGCGATACGTGAAATACTTTGGAAATCCACCCTATAAAATAGATCTCTTATATTAAATTATTGATTTGTCAAAGCACGATTTCATTATAATCTGATGTTTTCGTCAACCTCTTCAATAATAAGAATAGTAATTCGACGTATTCCATATTCGATAAGTTCACTTTTCTAAGAAATTAGAGGTATCAATTCAGTTGACTACATCATATCAAATAAAAGTTTAAATTTTTTTACAGAAACAGACCTTTGCATGTACAAATTTTTCTAACATAGTAGCCAAAGCATCGTCCTTATATGCATCAATCTTCAGGATAGCAACATTAATTATGTGGATCGGCTCGTCAGAGTAGAGATGCTTAAAGATATAGTTATGATTTGGTCACATAGGCTGGATATTAATAGATACGCGTACATACGTTGCTATGTATATATTATGGAATAATGTTAAGTAAAGTTACAGAAGTTTGATTTTCCCACAAAGGTTCTAATCCTTTCCTAGCTTCAGATCGCATAGGACTGACGGGATCGATGCGAAAACGACGAATTATTGCAGCAAAATTCCTGAAAAGATCAGAGAAGATCATTATCTGTAGCAAGTGATATTAATTTAAATATGATGCAATACGTACTCCTCTAGATCCTTCAAGTCTTCGACTGCGGTCATAGCACCAATTCTTTCACAAGGCGGTAGAGAATCGTCTTTGGCTGCATAACTAGACAAGTCTTCACTCAGGCTAGCTACCTGATGTCCAAATTAGTACCGTAAGCGTTAATACAACAAAAAATTAGGGTAAGTACAATAAAGTCCAAGTAATTACCCTCGTTATTGGTCTTGTCAACTGCTTCGTTCTCTTTATATTCATCGAAACCCGATGTGGGTGGCTGGACGGAAGAAGAAATCGAAATTCTACCAACCATTTATTACCACTGAGCTAATACGACGATATTATAAAGTATAGGTTAATGCTTCGTCAGTAACAATGATAATAAATAGCTAGAAATATAATTCATTGTAGAGTACTTTTTCATGCTTTAAGCTTTTCAATTCATAGGCTTGGTACGATCGTCTTACATATACCTAAAGGATTACGCTATTAATACCAATCGTATCTGGATTTTGATTCCGATACTGACAAACTATCAACTTTACACTACATCTACCAACTAAATTAAGAAATACTATGAATCATGTAAAATAAACATGTACTACTGCCTAACATACCTCAAGAGCAGCCATTTTTACTATATTGTTATCATGGTAAAAGAAACTCGGTAGAACATCAAATATTGACGTTTCCGATACTATAAGTTTCTAAGGAGAGATTTTCAATTATTTAAATCAAAACTGAAGTTACTCAGAAACTTATATATGAATTAAAACCATACTTGCAGATTATCAGGGCAAAACTGATGCCCATGCATGTCAATGGCGGAAAGAAAAATCGATTCTACTTGGTTACGTCGTAATTGATACGAGGGCTGATGAGCAGCAATTAGTACCTAAAAGGAAAACTATTTAATACCACACCAACTCATCCCATTATTAGAAATCGGGTAATTATTTAAAAGGTAGTACTATGAACAAACCTGTCTTGCTCTCAAAGCCACTTTAGCATTTTCTTGATTGTTAAGTTTGGTCAGTTCCGATAATACTGCAATAAGTTCATCAGTCAAACCAGTTTCATTAGAGGAAATATGATCCTAAGGAACAGCATTAGATATAACTTATCAACGGGTAATAAGAATATATGATTAATCACATAATTTTAAGTATCAATCATATAGTTACTATTAGCATCACAGCGGCGGTATTTTTCATGGCAACTTGTGAGTGTGAAAGAATGCTGGTGACAACTAGAGATAGATTATCGCTGTATTTTTCGCGTAATGCAGCCACACATTTATCGTAATTGCCTATTTTTAAATTATTAATAGTTTAACTTATATCGAAACAAGCTAAAGCCTCCCATATCAATAACATACCTTGATTAAAAATAGTTTCTACTTCAATATATTTCTTAAGCATAGATATGACAACCGATTTCATGTGCCCTCTAGTACCATTTCGGTACCTTTGGAAAAATTGTATAATTTAGATTCCATGTATTCCTACTAATCTAATATAATTAAAATTACCTTCTCACAAGCTGCAGTATTGTTTGTGTATTTAAAAAGAAAGAGTCTCGATCTACTCTTTTTGTGAGCGTACTTGCATGTGCGTCAATTATGTTTGCAATCTGCAATGAAAAGTTTTCATTATCACTATATAATAAAGGTTTGATGATACTAGAAAACAAACGGATAGAAATATCAGCAAATTAATACAGCTATTGTACCTGCTGGCTTGGAAACTGACATAATACAGATGTGATATTACTAGAATAAATAGCAAGCTCCTTATTTATAGCGTTTTCAATGGAAGCAGGTATGCGACCAGACATCGTATGCATGATCTCCTATATATCGATTAGATTCCGAAACGCTGTTAGTAAAACTTTTTACCAATTCAAAAACATGATACTTGGTACCTTTAGTTCAAGTAGTGGAAGAGCCGGGTCTCTGAGGCAAGAGACTAATGTTTCAATATTTTTTTCAAGCTTTACAATAGACAAAAGCGAAATTTAATTTTATCAATAAGTAGGAATAAAATGATTTCGATATAATCAGAAATTGATAACCTGTACCTTCTTAATGAAATGTGATTTAGGTATACAATAGCCATCCATCAAGTTTAATAATAATTCCAGTGATGCCTTGAATATCTAGAAATAGTTAGGCAAATATTGAAATTTTAAGTATTACTAACACGAAATTTCGTTTAAAATTAATAGCCTTACTTGATGAACTTGGGCCCCTTCTAGTCTTGAATATTGCTCATTTGTAAACTTTCCGGTAAAAAGTTGCGCCTAATGAAATTTTAGAGTAGCAATTTAGAATCTATCCGTAGGTGAAAACAAATCATCATTCGTACAAATAATCTAAGGGAATATACACCTTTTTAACAAGGTTTGGATCGTCAAGTTCTAGTGTTGCTAAAACACTCGCTGGTTCAAGAATGGCGCCAGGTCGTTTAACATAATGAATTCTTTAAAAAATTTCTTAGTCAATATAGCGTAATAATGAAAGATAATATTTCGGGAAAAATTAATATTAGAACAGTCGATGTACTTACTTTCCAGATTCTGTAGAGATTAAGGACATTATCATTTTCATTACCTAAATTGTTTCTCGATGTTAGTAATACTAGAGGCGTGGTAGATTTATATTTAATCGAACTAAGAGTAAACACTAGCAAGGATTGGATGTAATGAGTAAGTCTTGCCTCAATTTCAGCATAAGGAATAGTTGGGTTAATTGCGCCACCGTCTTCAACTAAGAACTGTACCAACTTTCCTGCAGATGGGGACCTACATATTTGGATAATATAATTATTTAGTACATAAGTAAGCCTAATATTGGCGATTCATTACGATACAATGTTAGCCAATTAACCCACCGTAGGATGGTTGGATCACTCTCTTTTTCGAAAATACAAGTTTTACCGCCAATCACAACACGGTATCTGTAATTCGCACAAATGTCAGTTAAAAAATTTCTAAATAGCGAAATGATGACACAATATCAATTATATTGACATTTCTATATACTTATCGACTTCTTCTGTTATATATGTCGTGTAACTATTGCCTCTTAATGATATCAACAGCCCACTATCACTCAATCTGTGCATTGCAGAAAATTTACGTAAATAACACTAATTTATCTAATAGTAAGCTTGTATTACTATAATAATAAAATTATCAACAGCATACCGATGCACTTCGACTTCAATATATGAGCTATTCATAACGACAGCATAGAGTGACAAGCCTAATCGCGTAACCTTTCAGGTAATAATTTTATAGATTAGCAATAATATAGGAAGCTTTCATAAATCATAGTAATGGAGATACTTTACCTGCAGTTCGTATTTGATATGATCGTGAATGAGTTCGACATTAACTGTATTAGTCAGCAGGTTGACGGGCAAGACCTGCCCTCTGCAATAGAAAATTAATCCTTAATCTGACAATATTCATATCTTAGTGAATATAAACTACATCCCAGGAGAAAACAAAAATTATATTGAACCTTTCTAAAGATGCTCCGTAGGTGGAGTATCGCTTCTGAATATCATTGCTAGCAACATGAAGAGCTCCAGTAATAACGGCCAGCATAATGTCGGGTTTTTCCGCCTGAATAGTATGTAAAATTTCATAATGCGATATTTAATAGCATTTCGAATGTGACTAACCTTCACTTTCTTGGATATAAGCGCATCTAACCAGCTAGTACTAATTTCGTTATTACAAAAGTCATCAGTTTCCATCAATTTAATTAAGTACTCGACTGTAGTTCTAAAGTCCGCACGAATTGAAAGTTTCTGGAGAGCAACAACCATGTTCCTGTTTCATCAGTTTACAGATTTAAGTAGTAATAAAGTATGTTCAACCATATAACTAATAATTTTATATGATGACTAGTGTACCCGAACGTATATGAAAACGCCCGCAAAAAAGGCACCGTACATTATTTCTATTGATAGAGCTATAGATACATACCTTCTTGCATCTTCTCTATTTTCACCCCAGGCGAAGCAGTGGCCGAATTGGGAGTCCGCAAATTCATGGATCGATCCTGACGCAATGACACTAAAGTAACCCCACACATTATTACTACTCCGGAAATTTAACTCGTGAATCATTCCCCCACTAGGCTTGAAATTCTAAGATTTTACATTTAAAGCATCAAATTGCGTATATCTGTAAGCCAAGATAATAATCTAATCACGCGACTATAAATATAATAGATGATATTTATACCTCATCTGGATTTTCCGCTGTGATACGTGCGGCAATGACATGCCCTTTCGGAGGAAGTCGCTTATCGATGCTGTTAAGTAAATGATAACGGCAAAGTTAAATAAACTAGTGGTGCAATGGTGCATTCCTATAACAATAAATACATCCAACTGAAATCTTTGCAATAAAGGTTTACTTTGAAAAATCAATAGGGGTATCTTCTAAAGGATTTTCTCCGTAAAAATTCCTTATGCTACTAATTCGATGTAATGGTATACCCATAGCGATTTGTAACTGGGCAGCTGGTAAATTTATATCTGTTACCATTTCTGTGCATGGATGTTCTACCTATTCATATACAAAATGCACATACGTATTTTCCCATGAATTAAATAATTTCCTATTGCTCCTTAACAATCATAATACCTGTAAACGAGGGTTCAGTTCCAAAAAATAAAATCCATCTTCTTCGGTGTATAAATACTCAACAGTTCCCGCACTTACATACCGTACCATTCTTGCTAAGGTTACAGCGGCCTATGTTGACGGTGAATCAGAAAGAACTATTTAGCATTGTAGTAAATCTTTATACGATGTAACGTATGTGCAGTTATCAAAGTACCTTTTCCATTTGTCTAAAGACTTCAGGAAGGGCAATAGCCGCTGGTGCTTCTTCGATAATTTTCTGATGTCGCCTTTGAACCGAACAATCACGACCATACAAAGAGATAGCCTGACCATATTGATCAGCTAAGATTTGCACTTCCAAATGACGAGCGCTGTTGTAATTAATATCAAAAACTTATATGTAAAAGACAGATTTATTTTTTATATGTTACAGTCTGCAATCCTACCATTTAGCCAGCTTCATAATAAAAATTGGCGAACCAGGAACCTCAGATTGAACCTAGATGCAATTAGTTTAAAAAATTTGGCACCGTTCAGGACAAATTACGAGTATAGCACTTCATTTATTATATATGTGGATTAGCACAAACCTGTCTGAAAAGTGTCGGAAAATCTTTCTCGCTTTCCACTTTTCGGATACCTTTACCACCCCCGCCTTCAGATGCTTTAATCATTACAGGATAGCCTATCTTGTTGGCAGAATTAACACCTTCATCCACCGTAGTAACGCAACCCTTCTTATATACTTCATCTGTAACTTCCGCTACTTTTCCTTTTGCGACATCTTCTTCTACCCAATCAATTTTGAGCTCTAAATTTGATTACAGAATATTATTTTCGTGTAAAAACAGCCATGGATCATTGATACTGTGTAGCGTATTACTGTACCTGAGCCACTCCATGGCATTGTAGGCACTCCGGCAGTTTGGGCAACAATCGACGATGCGATCTTATCTCCGAGTGCCCACATAGCATGTTCGGGTGGTCCTACAAAGGTTTTGCATTCATTATACGATCTTTTTATCATAACTACATTAATGCTAAATACGAATACAGCATAACCTGTACAGTTTCCCATCTCTATTGCCTGATACTTAATACGTTACCTATAAAAGCTATATCGTTCTTATGTAATAATTCAGGCAATCTAGGATTTTCAGAAGCGTGTCCCCATCCTGCCCAAACGGCCTGGATTATCAAAAGGATTCAATATTACTTACACTACATAACATAAATGCTGTAATTAAGAATTACGGTTAAAAAATTTTGGGTGTCCATTTCTTTTATTGCTACTTTCGTCAGTACAGAACTTAATACAATTTTAAGCAGTGCGTATCTTTTATACTGCATATAGTATTTTAATTTAGATCTTACTTGAGACTTGGTCCTCTTGGCAATTTCTACAATCAGATCAACATTAGCGTAATTGTGATTATTAGTTCCTCCAGGTACCATGACGTAATGATCGGCCATTTTGATATATTCAGCATTAGCCTTATCGTAAGAATGTAATATAACTGCCTTAATCCACTGAATTATTACACAGATCAAATCGAGCTGATATAAAAATATCGGTAAGATGAATGCGTTGTAATGGTCAGATAGTTAATAAAAGTTTACAAAATTTTGTACTCTGTTGATAGCCCATCAACAGACATTACGTAGTAGATTCCAAGACGATTAATTATAACTAGGGCGCAACTTATGTAACTATCTGGTAAACTTATTGGTATATAAATATCTTCAATAACAATCAAATAATATCCCACTCAATTTCGGAATGGCAACTTGCCGATGGCCGAGATCCAGCACAATATCACGAAAATTAATTATTCGATCGACATGATTACAGTATGACCTTATTGCCAGATAGTATGGTACTAGTTGTTAGACAACAGCGAGAGTATTTAATTAATTAATCAAAGAACGGCAAACGAGTTAACTATACAATACAGAATTCATAACTCTAAAATATTGTGTAATTTATCGATATTTAGAATATACTACCAGTAACATACAGAAAGGCTATTGTGAATAGGTGACACATGCCTATACCTTAAGATCATCTGGAGTTACCATGGAACAAAATTTGATGGCCCTTTCGTTGCCAAACATTTCGTAGGACCACCGACGAACGGATGTCATGCATTTTACGGCTGCGATACCATTATTTGATATTAGCACCTGTAGTGCAATAGTTGATGAGATACATTTTGTAGACAGGGAGAATAAATACTTTTTATTAATGCAGCATATTCTTCACATTAAATTATACTGTCACTATCATGATATCGTACAAATTTGTTGCACATATTTATTCAAACGCGCATGTAATACGACATTACGGTATACATAAGTATACGTATACTGTAGTACTGTAGTATAAGTATTCTAAATTAAAATACGAAATCACAGCAGAAAGCTTACCTTTTCAATAGCTCTGGTGCCACCAAAACGTCGTACAAATTCTTCAGGTGTAGTAATCTACAAATAAAAAAGTCATTGATTAATTATAACTGAGTTGCATTTATATTATACGACAGCGTATATTGTATGCTTCATGAACATCTCTCAAATGTATGAGCCCATAACAAATGACAATCAAACGCCGTGCCTTGCAGATTGTGATCAAATTTGAACGGTTTTTGTAATTCATCATCTACGTGAGGTAATCCAGGTACACTTTATTTTGAGATGGTCGTCGTAGCATAGTATAGTACAGTCTGTACTATCGTGGTCACTACGCATTCAATTTACTTGACGCAGTGAAGATGAATGGTGAAAATTTAATTTTTACGTTTGCTATCGCTAGTTTACAGCAGTAGACTTTATTTTGCAGGGTTAGTTTACGAGGCAGCTCAAGTTCGATTCATCGATTAGAACATACTGGCCCATAATTTATTCCGTGACAGTACAGTATAGTACAGTACAGTATATTGTACTGTACAGCATACTGTACTGTACTGTACAGTATTGTCACACTGATACCGTTACTGTACTGTAAGTCATACTGTACGAGCCATGTTGCAACATTCGAAATTATCAGCTGATAAATAATAATTATTATTATTGTAAAGGTGCAGTACTGTACAGTACAGTACAGTACATGTATAATGATATTTAAAAGAAAGATTAAATTAAGACTTGCTTGACTATAACAATTCAAATGTGATAAAAGTATACCATTGTAAGGATCTACATTACTAGATTCACTATATAATCTACTCTGTATCATCCTTTTCATCGTCCACCGACTGTGAACCGCCGCTACCGCGCAGTATAAAATTAAAAAATTTATCTATGTAAAGCTGTTGTTGGGTGTTCAGGTCCCTGGTTCACTCTACTGTACGTCATAAAACTACTAATAGTAGTGCTATACTGTAAATAGTTAGTTCATGTTATTATTTTATACCAATTTATATTCCGTCCATGCGCCTCACTTGGTTTAAGAGAGCAACGTTAGAAGGCTAGGGCATTACTGCGCCAGCGTCATAAATCGTATGATTATATTAATTATAATATTGTTATTTTTTTACAGTTAATTCTATTTTATTTATTTTCCTCTAGTGTACTGTACAGTATTTTTTCTTTATTTATTTTACTGTAATGTACAGTACTGTACAGTACTGTATATTTTATTTTATTATTTCGAGGACCTGGCATGGCCTGGCATAAGACAAAGAAACGGTTCAGAGTTCAGAGTTCTCCATTACCACTGTACACTTCAGTGTACAGTACTGTACATTCATAGACGGTACTGTGCTGTAGTGGTATTTACTGTTGTTAAATTATTTTATTGAACGTCATCGTTCAAAAAATTTTTAATTTATTTTTTACTGAGGTGGAGGACCAGCATACAGTTGAACGTGCAGAGGTCCATGCTGCAATAAAATATTCAAATTCATACCGTATACCCTACTGTAGACCATATTACAGTACTCGTACTGTAGCACAGGAGTTTTCTGTGCTCTGCACACATTAGTGGTATCTATCATTGCAATGCAACATCGTGATGAAAGGCAATTATTTCTCGAGTAGTCCCTGGCGATGTGTGATAATATATTTATACAGTATATATACTGTACTGTATATATTTATATCAATCATGAATCAGTGCGCTATACTTTGAAAACACGGCCTCTGCACAGTACAGTACTGTAGTGTGGCCGAGTGGCAACGTTTATATAAGGCTAATGCATAAAGGGAGAGAACTCTCACTATTATTGTCATGGGCTAAAAGGCCTCAAAAATTTTCATACAAAGGCGATTTTACTGCAACATAAAATTCGAAATATGACGCAATCGGGCATTAATATCTATCTACCATCTTTCGCAATCTTCAATTTCAAATGTCCTGTAGTCGTAATATCGGGGTTATTTATACCGTACACAAAAGCATATCGTACTGTATCATGTATTATCGTATTGTCCCTTCATTACGGTACAGTACGTGATATGTCGTAGTCATCTATACAGTAACTTACAAATTAAGACAAAAAACTTCACTGAGAAGAACTGCATATGCTGCGTATGATTTATCCATCGTTTCATATATAAAATTGAAACAGTAGCGTTATTATTTTTAGACATAGCATAGATGCAATGAAATATCATTCAGTTAAATCGTGTATACGCTGAACGATAGGTAGAAATTGTAGATGCAGTATACAGTACGGTGGCTCAGGCGTATAAAATCAAAAGATGTAACATGTAATGTAAAGTGATATAACGATTGTACTCGAATAAATCAGCCCGATGATGTCGTTGCTTAATAATGTAACTGTACATATATACAGTATACTCGTATACAGAACACAAATTAAGTACGGTGATATATTGTTATAAATCCATCTGTGCGGAGAACTACAGATCTACAGCTGTAATGATGGAGAGCTACTTTTCCGATGAATCTTACTGTAATATTCTTTTTGTGAACTGTTAAGAGGATTTTAAAAAAACTAACTATTAAATACAATGTTGACTTAAATGGCTTACCGTAGAGTTAGCTAAGCTGTCTTTAGATGAGCTTTTTCGGACCAAACGAAAACTAGCTGAAGTCGGCATAGTAGGCTTTGGCTTGTTGACCGGACTATTCTTTGGAGAAGTCTCCTGATGACCATTTACTTGTGGCGCTGAGAAGGATAGAACATTATCATCAGCATCTGAATCAATCGAGACTGATCTTTTCAATTGGCGTTCGCTACTCGCGCTCATTAATATTTCGTCTCAGCAATATCTGATTTCAAAAACTATTCGAAATTAATGGAAACATTTAATGGGATTAATATGACAAAAAATTTAATTTATTACATACAGTGAAGTAGCGTGCTCGTCTTGCTAAAAATTACTGTGTTGATAGACACAACCAATGTGTGTATTTACTTACTGTACTTATGCTAAGATGATAAGATTAAAAACTCATATTTCTTGCTAAGATATTCAAGTACTAAGAATAAAGTAAAATCAACGAAATAATGGGTTACCGAATGTGCTTGTAAGTGCATAAATTGCTTGTCATTTACCACAAAAAGGTAAAACAGTTGCGAACTGTTGACAGTGCCAGTGCTGACTGTGAGTTGCAATCTGCAAGCGTGCAAACGTGCAAATATGCAAACGTGCAAATCTGCAATCTGTGCCCTGCCCTGTACAGTACAGTACAGTCGTTAGTCAAGGCTGTACACAGTGTACAGTGTTTAGTACTGTGATTGTACAAAATCATCTGACCAGATACTGTACTGTACTGTATGTACAGTACTGTAGACCTGACAGTATGAACTAAACAACTATAAACCGTTTCAGACTATTAATAATTAATTAATTAATTTAAACATTAAAATAAAAAATCTTTATTTACAGTTAAACTAGCTAGCGGCCAATGAGCTAAGCCTGGCCCTGTTTAATTAAAGATATTTTTTCTTGTTGAGGCTGAGGGTTTAACCTCAGGTAGAAAGAATAATCCAGAAGCAGTACAGTACAGCAGTGTACGCGTACATAAATTAGCGAAATGCCGTCCCTGAAGCCTGAATGTCCTTGTCACATAAAAATAAATAAAGGAATAAATAAAAAAAATTTTCAATAGATTATAGTACAAGGCCGCATGCAAGATCATGCCAGATGCAATGTGCTGCACAAAGGCAAGGACTACTACGCTTGAAGTATCGAAACGTTAATAACTAGAGGAAGAAGCCTTTCTTCTTCTAGTAGTCCATGACGACATACGTTATGTGACTCACCTAAAAAAAAATTTATTTACGGTTAATAATATTCTTAATTAATATGCTCACATGTACAATACTGTACAGTGTACAGTACCTTGGTCAGTGTGGTGTGGTGACTGTGAACTCCCCACACGGTACTGTACTGTATGTACTGTACTGTACGTACAATAACAGCACGTATGTACACATGTTAAATGTTTGTCTACATATCACGTGAAGCATCAAATGCTGATTCGAATGGTATAAGAATAAATTCTGTAAATCACTGAACAAAAAAATTATTAAAAATATTCTTTATGAAGTTCAGTACACTGTAATTTTGTATTTCGGTCATATTAGAAAATAACTGACCTAAAGTACGCTATTAGAAACTTGTTACCTGAAACTATCGCTGAAGTACCAGCAGTAATGATAATTAATTATAACACGTAGTCATTATAGTGGAATAACCGTAGCTGTATAAAGTTTTTAAATATATTATATAGTATGGATAATATGCTAGACCACACTAGTTTTACAAAGTTGCAGTGCAGATATCGTTATGTTCTCTATCGCGACCCTAGGTCAATCATGCAATACTCGGTTAGACACTGCAAAGTAGCCTGATGCGTGGAGTCCACTTCTTTATTCGTATTGTCATTTTGCAATCATACATAACAGATATCACTGAAATAGAACAGAATTGAATGCCCTATACAACATTAAAGTTTGAAGCAATTTCATCGGGATTCTAAGTTAGTGCTGTTAGAATCTAGATGAAATCGCTTCAGATTATTCTATTTCAGCGATGTTTGTATAGCAACTATGTAAAGTTGGGGTAGATTAATGAGCATCTAACTACCTGCTACGAAGTGATCGCGAGAAGCTAAAATTCTGAGACATTAGTACTGTACTAACTCAACAGAAATGCAAAAGAACAGCTCTAAGGTGCAGTATTTAAATTTTTACATTTCTGCACAAATGGGTTATCCACACAAGAATACCTTGTTAAAAAATACTTTAGTTAAGAACATTTTATATCCACGGGTCACCCAGCTTTTGCAAATAGACCGACACTTTGAATCTTCGTAGTTGGGTAGTTAGACATGGTGTTTATTTTGGCACCGCTAGAATCTTGCAATGTAGTACAATTGGGCTCGCACGATAAACAAGACGCTAAGGATTTAGGATGGGTTTATTTCAAGATGAAGACAAGAGCAACATGAGCCACACATACGAGATTAATAGAACGAATTCTTGATATAAAAGTAGCGATATTATGACATTGAATACATAGTTATGATCACGATAAACATAATACAAGCGGAATAGGATTGTATATGTTCGCATTTAACTATAAACTGGAAAACTAGAAATCTGTGACATGGATCAGGGTTTCTTAAGTATGCCAGTATATTTCATAATCAAACGTACAGTCTCTCGATAGACCTTCGTAGCAGAATTAAGCCCCCATATGAAGTCTAAGTGTTCATAATCCGATAATGTCCTGTTAAAAACAAGATTGGGAATCTTGGACAACAATGACTTGACATCAGTAGGGTCTGCTAAGAAATCATGGCCACCACTAAATACCGCCGTTGGTACGTGCATTTTATTCACATGGTAAATGGGAGGAGTAGTCTAGAACAAGATAGCATGATAAATTATATCGATAGGAGAGCAAAAATTGGATATATATAAGCTGAGTTAAATATTTAGGATTACATGATAAATTGCGTTAAGGTCAGTAGGTGAGCAAAAAAAGAATACCTATCAGCTGGGACAAATACTTAAGATTTCGTACCTGATCATAATGAAGTTTGTTCTCATGTTTGTTACCGAAATCGAACATCTGAAATTTCTTTGATAAATACATCTGCAAAAATATCATATTAAATGTGATTTCAAGCCTTAATAGTAAGAGAAAACTTTATAAAGCTATTCACATTAATAAATATTATAATATAAATTTTATATCATTATGACAAAATTAAGCTTGATAAAACATCGCTATCTTATCATTGCTAAATAGCTAATAAACTGCTATCAATAATACGATCATAGCATTATTTATCTAACTAAATTAAATATCTATAGTAGGTACAATAATACACTTTAGTAACAGTACAGACTACAGCGTATCAATCTACAAACCTGAGCAAAATGTAACATATTGCGGACTGATGTACCAGCTGGTGTATGGGATAAGTAAACTGGAAGACGTGTCTATAAAATTACAAGAGATATAAGATAAGATTCAAAAAAATTGAAAAAGAGTTGCAGTTACTTTACATGAGGTTTTAGCTTTTATAACCTCTTCTAGTAACTATAGCATATTTTACAAGAGTACTACACAATATTACATACGACGTTTAGCTGTGGTTTATCGAATCCAGTTATTAAGAATATCATATCTTCACACAATTTGTTCAAATATCTTGTACCACAAACTTCAGTAGCCAATAGCTTTATTAAGAAATCGTTCGGAAGAAAGTCTTTGTAGCCTAAGAGCTGGAACAAATCCTTAAATCGAAATTAGGAAAGCAGATTTGTAGCACCTGATTATATTGCGATGAAGTTAATCAAGTAACAATCACTATTACTTCGTTAACTTTGCACAACAATAATAGAAGGCTTATTGTATGCCAATCACTTAATAATACATACGCTGAGATCTTGACTAATGTAGGCCAAATATTTTAATCCGCTTTTAATGTGATCAATAGTAGTAATTGGTGCTAAAGCGACAAATAACTTCACTTTTTTAGCTAAGACATGATTTTTCGAGAATTCTGCAAACGCTACCAAAGTTCCTTGTGAATGGCCAACGTAAACCAGATGCGACTGCTTCGTAAAATTTAATACGTACTCTAACATTGCAGGTAAGTCATACTTTGCTATTTCATCCCAACTGCAGTAAGCATAATAACATGATCTCAGTGTTATAAACTGAAGCAGGATATTATCATAAAAATATTTGGATGATTAAGTATATAGTAGTATTTGCCTGATATCGAGAAGAACAATTGTCGGTTCACTATAACAAATTATTAACTCCTCTAGCGTAACCCTCATATACAACTTTCACAGAGCCGGAAAATGGTATATAGAGAGCTGATAATAAGATACGTATACAGATGAAATTGGATCATTTAGACTATTATAGAGGCTATGAATGAATTCGAACGAGCGGAAGTGCGCGTATTAATGAAAAGATTTAATCAGTTATTTAACAAATCACAACGCTAAATAACATTAATTACTGGTACTCTACTAATAGTATATATATATATATATATATAATGCGCTTGACAGTTTCATCGCAAGCATCACTATTTTAAGTAGTATACACTTAGACGATAAAAATGAATTATTTTGAAAAAATTTTCATTGCAGCTACCATAAGATAAATCTGTAGTACGATCACAGTGCTAGAACTTCATGGCATAAGGAAATACCACCTACTTATGATGCGGTTGTTATATTCCATAATATTTTGTTAGAATGTACTAAAACGCATATACTACTTTAAAAGATTAATAACTGCAAGCTACAATAGACTATGAAGAGACTGCTATAGTTTTGTTTTCTAACTTATTAATGTAGTAGTTACTGTACGTATACAGTAGACTGCTTGGGGGTTCTATTTTATGCCTGAGACTCAAAATGATGATATGCGACATGGGATCATAAAGCATTCAGATATTATCTTAGCAATAACCTCCAATTCCAAAATGCATCCTGATCAGGCTTGAGAGTAACATGATTTCTAGAATAGGTATTACCCCTAACATTTCCAAGCCAAACATCTAATTCGTTATCCGCTAAAATGAAACCTAAACTCTCATTCGATAAATTTATTACCCAATCGGCGCTAGAGCATAGCAGGCAGTGCATTAAAAATACGACTGGCTTTCTTTTGTCATAGTTGACGTCAATCGGCTTTTCTCTACCTTGAGGAATTCTTTGTATATTCAGAATGAAACCATCCTCAGTCTTGACGAAATGATTTTCTACAGGATAGCCTTTGCTGGTGATTAGTTTCGTCTATATCGATTTATGGAAAGTGAATACGAGAAAACTTCTTGACGAAAACTTAATGGCAATGTATCTAACGTACGCGTATATGCCTATACACAGTGTAATGTAAACGACGTTTAAAAATGGCTGCCAATCCACTATAAAGCTGTGACGCCTGTAAAAACTACTGCCGGCAGCGAAAATGCTACAAGCATACCAGTAAGAGCGAGAGATTTCTCAATAGTAATCATTAATTACACTGCTGCTCAGATATTGCGCAAGTAAATTACATTGCATTCATTGCACTCCAATATTCACCCAGTGTTCTGTGCAACTCTACTGTACAAGTGTATAGTATAGTATACTGCTCCGGTAGTTAATATAATTTTAAAATAGACCATTTTCTGGAGCTCACAGAATTCATTAGTGGAGGTAACTGTAATTTCTGATCACAAGTACAAAATATTACTTACAACATTTACTCCAATATCAGGATCTCCATTGCTATTTTCTGTGGTTAATACCGCAAAAGCGAACCCACAGACGATCGCATTTACGTAGAGAATCAGTAAACGCTGCATGAACTCAAGTGCTGCTTGTAAAGACTATTCTTGTTGTTATTAAACAGTTCCGATGTTCATAATAACAAATTAAATAGAAAGAGTAGTACGAAAAACTGAGTACTGCATTAATCGCAGCTAATAAATAAAAAAAACGTACGAAATTTAGCAACTCTATCGAGTTTTAATAATTCATAGTTATACTGTATAGTGTATACTTATACGCGTAGTACCGATTAATTAATTTAATTGAATAAATGCCATTTGGTGTCACTTCCAGTCCCGAATTTTTCTCTTTACAAGTGTGATATCTCATCAGCGAACTGTACTGTACAGTACAGTACAGTAAAGTTCTGTAGTTCAGTACTATACTGTACAGTATACAGTTTAGTAGAGTATTTACAGTACACTATGCATTACTGTACGTACAGTACTGTAAGCACACTGTACAGTACACTGTACAGTAACATACAGTACTGTATGATATCGCGCTCTTTTTGCAATAGTATACAGTACTGTACAGTACGTACAGTACAGTACTATGTCGTTTTACATAGTAATGTGACCGAAACTGAATTCCTAAAATCCAGTACAATTATTGCATTTTGGAATGATTTGCGATACTTGATCTTACTAGGGGTAGTATCACTAGCATGGCAGTTGTAGTACCAGTACTAGCACTATGCAAAAAAAATAGGAATGAAGATCTCTAGAATGAGTGTCGGATGGCTAGTAATGTATTCGACAGAACGTAGAAATGCATTACTCTGGTCCACAGATACATTTTAGCGCCGTAGTAGAGTAGGTTCGGTTCATTCAAGTTGCGCCAAGCTGAAAAAAGTCCTGTTTACAATTGTCTAGTAAGATTTGGCTTTTTATAACATTGCCTGGAACCTGAACCGTCCTACAGTTCCTGGGCGTACTGTACTGCCGTTATGCTTATACAGTACCTGAGTATCTCTGATCTACGCTGGCTCAAAACGGCTATTGATCATTGAACTTAGATATCAAAAAAAGTCATTCACTTTACTTCCGTGATCGTGACATCAGCGACTTTTGAGAGAAAATTCTTTAAAGAAGTACCTGATGAAATACTGTACAGTATGTACTACTGTAAATACTAAAAGTAAGACTAGTATTCTCTTAATTAATAAGAGTAATGGCACCATTACTCTTCTACAGTACATGACCATTCTTACCCCTTTCAAAGTACAGTATAGCACAGTAGTTTTCTGTGTCGTAGTTTATGTTCAAGCACAGTACAGTAATTATACATAATTAGTACTGCAATGTACGACTTAATTACCACGTAATAATCTGCTGTACACTGACGCACATAATGAGTTATTTCTGACAATTTCGAAAGGTTTACTTTGTACATTACAGTAAATGATCGCAGTATTTCAGTATCATATGATATTGAAAGAAGATCTACAGTAATATACGATACATCATTTCACTTATAGAACGGCATCCCTAATTGGTAATTGGTGAAAAGATTTTAGTCAAAAGGGTTAAATGAGAATACAGTAATGAGTAACATTGCATTACATATAGAGATTACAGAGCTATAACATTTACGAAACTAATTCAATAATGCTTATAAATGTTTAAACTGCAAGGCAAAGATGGATATCGTGTAATTTAATCATAATTGATCATGTTACAGCAACGAAGTCTCCATAGTAAAGGGTTAAAGAGCTTTTTCGATAGCAGTACCCTAGCAATATACGAGAGTTAAAGATCTTGATTTAAACATATGATCCACCTTTAGACTGTTCGCTATTTACAATTCTAGGCTAAATCAAAGATTACAAGGATTCTTTTAGCGCATTTCAGTACAATCTATTCGAATTAGGCCTCTTTCGGCGATGAAGGGATATCATTTTCCTTGGATAAAAGTTCTTCCTCTTCGATGATATCTTCAGTAGCACTTCGAGAGCGTTCTAATCCATCCGGCTCAACTAAACCATCTTCTATTTCCTTACGTTTAACCCAATATTCATAGTTTTCTTCTATGTAATTTATGAGCAATTTAACAAGCGCGTTAGGCTGAGAATCACCACCCTTATTACTCATGTTACCCATTTCTTTTGAATCTGGTTGCCATACATTCGGCATGAGACCTGCGTCTGCATATGATCTAAATAATGGAGCTACTAGGTTACTGATAAAAGATTCTTGTAAAGCTGCTAAACGGGGATAATTGCAGTCCATATATGGTGATACAGGCATTCCTAATGACTTCTCTTCGTTGCCCTAATTTCAGTTTGAGATATTTAAAATGCAGCGTAAACAACAATTACTAAAATAGGAAGTTACCTACCTGCTCGTAAAATTCTTTAGCAATTCTGTCTGTCCAAGTTTCGTGTAGATTCCTCTGTTTACTAGGTCCATTTATATCAGCTAATTTAATACACATTTGAACAACTAATAAACGATCTGATTCGAGTCCCCAATCAAAGCCTGAGCCAGATGTTTCCTTTGATACCTGTACCTGAATTGATATTTAAGGTATTAACAAATTAAGATGATTAACCAAAATTTCGAAAGAAATGGAAAGTACGCGTATGCTTCTTACTTTTTCATTAAATACGCTTAGTATATCGAAATGTCGTTTCAAATCAGTCGCAAGGATAGCTTCAATAATTAAAAATCGTAAACGTCGATACTCAGCAGCATCAAGCCCACTTAAGAAATTATACTCTGGTTTACTGAGTAGCAGCTGCCACGCTGCAGCAGCATGATGACTTTCTAATACCGAACGATCGTTATATAAAATTGCCTAAAGAAAGAGTTTTAAATGTTACTACGCAATGTAAAATATTCTTTGTATTAGGATTACTATTTATTTGCAAAAAAATAAGACGAACATACTCCAATTCAATATGGTAAATGTATACCTGTGTGGCGTTGGTAGCAACTAGGAACGCGTTAGTTCTGCCAGGATGATCATAATCATGCATTGCAGCAGCAATATAGAGAGCAACTAACTCTAATGCAGGCAAAGCTGTAGCTAAGTAGCCATAGTCTGCTTCCTTTTTAAATGATTCAGAACCGTGACTGTCATCCATATTGCCTTGTACATGATCACGTTTTGCCTTGTTCGGTATTTTACATGCTAATGAATTATAATGATCGAATCCAGGAATGGGTTGAGTTGTGAGATAGTAACATGCATGTAAAACATCCGAAGCGTGTATTCGATTGTGATCTGCGGAAGGAAAAATTTGGTAATTGCTTAAGCATAACGTCATATCTGGTAATACACGAAAAGTAATCGAGAATCAGTAGCATAAAATCGACATTGCCTACATGGTATGTTTCTGTAGCCATTCTCTAAAGCCCGAAAGTAGCAAATGAAACGCGAGCGATCGATGTGAAACATATCGAATAGGCCAGTATTTTCGAACAGACGATAAGTTAGCTATATATTAAAAGTAATCCAAAAAATGCAACTTAATACGATTTTTAGATTCAATATCAATCTGAGTAAGAGAGTAACGTATTTGTAAGTATGCAGAACAACAAATTAAACAATACGAGTATAAATACTTAATATTTACTCATAGCACATGATTAGTTAGTTACTCTTTTTTGATTTAACTATCTATAGTGAACACATTCACTATCGGTAAGGTAATTTTCTTGCACGAACGTACATTGAATATAAATTGTCTGAAACTTACATGACTTAGAATCGAGCCATCACACTTTTCTGCCAAGTCGAATATAGGAAAATTCCAATCATCAACCTGATCTAACAGTAAATTAATATCGCCAGAGCCGCTAGAACAACTATAAGAAAGGACCAGATCTTCATCAATACAATCATCCTCGCTGTCATCAACATCATTTTCATTACGTTTTCGGTCTTCAGGGTTTTCTACGTCTGTATGTAACTTAGGATGATCATCAACTTGATTTGCAGATACTACTAGCTTTGATTTTTCATTATAAGCATACGAAGAGGTTGATGATATCAAACATGCCGCAGCACTCTTTCGGCGAATATTTCTGGGTCTTATGGATTCCTTTTTTTCAATGTCCAATAATTTATCATCGCTGCCAGAGATGTCTCTACTAAGGTAGGAAGGGTCTTTAATATTTGCTATGCGACTAAATGATGAATTTCTTTGCCTATATAAATAACCGAAATTTCATTATCAAATGAATGTAACTTTTTAATTTGCCAGATATGGCGCAGGTTAAGCAGAAAACGGTATTATTTGCAAGTGTTGTATAAAAAATTTAAAGCTTATGTCTATTGTAATAAACTGGAGATTATTCACGACGCCAAAAAATGTTTTCTTGCTACTAAATCTTAGAAGAGTACCTAAACAAAGGGCTTGGGCTACCACTTCTACTTGTATTTGGGCTCATATTAGGGGAGGTATCACGGGTATGCCGCATGCTGAAACTTCGCATACGGACAGGCTCCAATACCAAACTGGGCATACCTGTAGCCGATGTTGTAGTCGTCCATGTGCTCGATAGACGACGCACAAGTAGCGGCTTCGCATGATTGTTTACCTATAACAATTTATCATAAATTGAAAATGATTATGATTAATTTACAAATAAAGATACGTTAAATGCTATTGACATAAACTATTTATTAAATATTAACTTTGACCTCCCGATAACAAGTTAGTATATTGCGCATCGGTAACAAATACATGCATAACAATGATTTTAGGAAAATCACAAATTTGTTTCAGTTAGTGGTAAATGATGGGGATATCTCACTAAGATCATCTTACCAATAAAAGAAAACGAATACGCGTTAGCACACTATTTTTTAGTACCGCACCGTAATTATGGGCTGTGGCGCGAATCCTATCTGGCAGTCTAGACATCCAATGTGATACTGATAGCGCATGCGTACTATACCGTGAAAGGTACACGTATAAATCATACTATTTTACGTAAGCTGCTCTATACCTTTATTAACAAGTATTTTTGCAAAATGCTAAATTTTATACTGTCAAATCATACATATACAGAATACAGTAGATACTGTATATGCTTGAGGTTGATACAATACAGCAACATAAAAATAACTCCATCAATGTCCGACTGTCCAAAATGCTATTCAACTGGTTATATTACTCAGTAATCATGACTCATGCAAAATACAAGTTGTATACCACTTAGGATTACAGTAGGAATTACGTTTTAATCATACAGAATGAAAATTTACTAAAAGGTCTATAAAATGTTGATACGTATGTATGTCATAATAAGATGACATCCCGTAAGACATATGACTATCGACTAATTGTAATACCAATAACAAATACCTTAAGCTGACCGTTTATGCTTAAAAAATATGCTCAAAAGGAATTCTAAAATGATCGATACCTTTTGTGGTTGAGTTCCATTACCATCCTCTTTATAACGCTTTTTATTCGCGTCTACAGGATCAATTACAGGTAATGACTTTGATGGTGAGACGACACTAGCAGAAAGTGCTGCAGTTTTCGGATCGAGCACGTTAGCCATGACCTTTAATGAACTAACCATGTGCTGAGGAAGACATGGATCGACCAATAAGTCATTTATCATTCCATTTAGTTGACTAAGCGTTGCCAAATCGAAATAGTACAATGATCGACTATTTAATCCATCGGTCTGGATAGAGATTAGTATCACCACCACAATTGTTTAAACAGCAAAACAGAAACATATTTGTTAGCATCAACTATAGCTAATACAATATCGAAAAATTTTAACAATCTTGTATTGTAGATCATAAACTCCGCAAGTGCATTGCACAGTACTGTATTTATGAAGCATGATAAGCTGTGATATTTCTTTACGCCAAAGTCGCACAGTGTACTATTTCAAGAATAGGATACATGCTTAACTAGTATACTTAAAGCTTTTCCTAGTGTTATACTTGTACAAGTTTTAACTTTAAATTGGTATGATATCACCGTGTTACAATATTCCATCGAGATTCTATTCTATACCGGATTCTACTACGTCAACTACGATATTTCATTATTTGATAGTAAAAGCTAGTTCGCAAATCGAATCGTGTTATAATTTCATACAAATTCGATGTTATATTTATCAAATATTGATGAAGTAAATTATCTCATACGGTTAAGTAGTGATAAAATTAGTTAACACTGTTATTACGGAATATGTATTACAATTATCTCTCATCGTTACACTTAATATGCCATCTACAGTCCCTACTAAAAGTATTGAATGACATTTTAGAAAGTACTCGGCATATGGAATAATCGAATGCAATAACATGATTTTATAAAAAATTTTAAAATGTAATTAGTACTTTAATGGTCTAATACTTTTCAAATTTTTGATAAGTCACTAGTGCTACTGACAAATAGCATGTAGTAGACACCATAAATAACCTCAATATATCATGGTATTGTACGTATATTTGTATACAAGAAAATTAAGGAATGTGTCATTCGTCACCGGAATCTTATCTCATACGCAAAATAAATCTATCAAAAAATGCTAGCTAGTAATTCATAGAGGTGACAATCTGCGTTTACAATTAACTCAAGTTCGATAAATTTTAATCGATTCATAGTCATTAACAGTACTTGGTGTTATTGGTCTTTGTTAAAAGTAACAATTCCGAACTGTACAAAATATGAACTTATGAACACGCAGCTGGAGATTAAAAGAGAGTCGAGGATAAAAATAGTTTGTAAGTTGCGACACTGTACTGCAAACAGTATACCTTTGCTTTTGATAATATAATTTTCGCTTAATTATGTAAACTGACCCGCATTTAGCTCTAAGCATTAATCGCTAATCATTCCTGTACGCTGCACCGTACTGTACTAAATAGTACAAGAAGAAATTCTACTAAGGCTTGCTGAGTTGATCTTATAACATAGTATTTTTGATTGATACAATGCTTAGGTTCGATAGAACTTTACCTATGTTTAATTATTTAATTCTGCTTGTTGCAGCACCAACAGTCGTAACAATACACACAGTACGTGAAGCAAAAGTAAAAATCGTAAGTCATAGGAAAGATATAGCGATGGACTCAAATATTTGACAATTAATCTCAAAATTCGATATCAACCGTTTAAAAATTATGAGGTACATCAAAAGTCGTTGAAATATTAACGTTAATAATGTTCTTACGTATAGTACAATACCATACGTATTCGTACTGTAAAGTAAATTAATCAGTTGCCCGTCATTTCACAACTGGCAACTGGTAGTGAACTCTCGCGCTGCTGCACACTACTAGTGAGTTGAAAGTACAGTAACATGCACAAACATTACATAATGAACATCTTCTAAAAGTAGCTAACGATACAACATCTTTAAATTCCTTACGATATCGTTTACTAATTGCCACAATAAACAATGAGGTATACTAGCAAATAAGGCTATACTTAGTCTAAAGTTCAAGCAGGCCATAGATTAATATAATATATACGCATTTTAAATAGTCACAATAATCAAAACGTAAAATGTATAGTTTGTAAGCATCCACACTTTAATCTCCTTGCAGGATGGACTCTCTACTAGTAAGATCTACGATAAAATACTGATAATTATGATAACAGTAAACAATTTCTAAATTGTAAAAACAGAGAGGATTCAGTTAAAAAGATCGATTGCTCGGTTATCAAATTGTAACCTACAAAATACAGTAATAGCACTGTACTAGAACTAATGTTAGGGGTATATTTGCAGTTTCGGAATTTAACAGGTGAATACTATTTAGCGAATAATTATTAGGCACAGTATTATATAATATTGCCAAACAGCTAAATTTTTAAATGCCATAATGCGTCATATTCATGCTCACTTTGAAATCTTGCAAGATTTACTGACGGTGAATCCGATTTTATAATTCAGTATTTACGGTACAATACAGTGCAGTCCATACGTACCCATATTTACGGTGCGTTTATTAGTATTTCAGATATTTTGATGGCAAAGTATATAGTAATTATTACTATGTGTTTTGACTGTTCTTGCATGGACAGCAGCTACATGTTGGTATAAAGTATAGTATTTTTACGTTAGTTTAAGCAATATTTCTTCCCTTTTTCTACGTCTGAAAATAAAATCAACATACTGTACAATATCAAATTCTGAACTACAGTCAATCGTCAATACCGTATCGTTGATAAAGACGGTTAACTCATAGCTGGTGTTTCTCAAAATATTTTCTGGGATATCAAGTAATTGTAAGAATTTTCTGCCACATAGTCGTTTTTCCGGTGACAGTCATCAATAAGGCAGAATTAATGTAGCTTAAAATTCATTTTATTGATTTCTAATTGGTATAAATCTTAGGACGATCTGATATGCAATTAACTAAACAGTCGGCTAATGCGGTATCGATCCAAGTTATAGCTAATATGGATGGAAATGTACTAAACGAAAGCGGAGAACAACAAACCAGTTTAGTCAAAGTGCGGCACCGTAAATAGTCTGAATCCATGATACTATATGTAAACGATAATATTGGGAGAGGGTACAAACTGTTGTCAGACTAATTCTTGAGAGTTTGGATAGTGTCTTGATGCATGATAAACAAAACCAAATAACGTAGTTTACGTTAATTATTAAAGATAGAAAGAAAACTTTCCGAAAGACGAAAATAAACAAAGAAAAAAAATTTATAGCTTACGCATATTTTATGTAACTCCATTCCATAATTTCTTACACATTCGAGACTATGTTTTCTAGTTTACCGGCTAACACAGTTTGACACAGCAACTTTTAGTTAGTTTAAAAATTTCTGTTTTCAATCTGCATGCACATAAGCGTAAGCGTAAGTGTAGCTGAGTGGCGTTGACGAAGTGAACATACGCAGACGCCACACAGTCCAAGACATCTCTGATTTGGTCATGCACGTACGTACTGATACTGTACAGTACACGTACTGTATGTCTACTCAAATACTGAACTGTACAGTACAGTACTGTAAACTGCTCGTGGCAGCAATGGGGTACTGTACAGTACAGTACAGTACACTCTGTACAGAAGAACAAATTTTACGCGTACTGTACTGTACAGTACAGTAAAACTCTCATCTCAATCCCCTCCTTATACTGTACGTACAGTACTGTAGCAGATAGCACACGTGTACAGTACTGTACAGTACAGTACGTGTACAGTACTTGTACAGTGTACAGTACAGTACAGTACTGTAAAGTAATAGAACTGTACTGTACAGTACTGTACAGTACAGTACCGTACCGTTTTTAGGGATTCGTTTTTAAGTTGTCTTTAAGTTAACTGTAAACAATTCATGCAATCCAGATGAAGAGTTCATCCACATCCATCGCAGATTTATCGATAAGGGGTGGACGAACTTTTCATCACAAAGTATAGCGACGCCGCGACGTAAATTTTAATCCTTGATGTAAAATGAATAAATAAGCTGTAACCTAAACGGATCAGATGTAATATATAAAGATATAAACTAACTATGTACTGTCGTTACTTCGTATTAATCTGCTAAATTGTGCTGTAAATGTAGCCGAGTTGTTGCAGCTGCAGATATAAACATGATTAATAATATAATAATACGATAAATGATATATTAAAACACTAGTCTAAGTATACTCGTAAGCTCATTATCTACCAATTCGAGTAAACATTTCTATAAGTAGGATACTGAACCATAAGGAAATAAAACTATATAACCTATCATTCTGCCAATCTTCCTACTTTTTGCGAGTATTTTACGGTATACTCGTAGTGATTTCAATTTTACTTCGAATTTAATGAGATTACGCTACTGTAATGCTTATATTTGCCTAGATTAAGGACCTTTTAATTTTTATGGCATGATTTCAACTATCACTTAAGCATGATCTATTCTGCGATAAGATTCGAGATTGAGATTCATAAGTCAGAATAATCCATTGTATGGTTATGATATTATATAAATAAATGATAGATATCTGGAAATATAACTTCGTAAATAGATATGTATAAAAGTACCATTGTATAGAGGCTCACGTACTGTGAAATATCGCGTTTTGTGTTGGTATTGCATTTCATGCTCTCATGACGAATTTATAGGTATGGTAATGCACGTAAAGTCAAATATAAAGCAAGTTTTGCGCATTAAATTCAAATCAAACTTTACAATATGTGTTAATAATACTACTAACTACAGTATTCAGTATCGGCCATAATCTATAAATGAGAATACATATACTCTTACCGGCTTTAGGCCACCTACTGGTAGAGATGTGCGACGTTTAGAAAGAGATCTTGTGGTATTAAGTCCTGGTGAGCGGTGCGAAAAGCTTTGCGTTGAAGCACGGCGATTCATAGATGTGCTATCACTAATTACCGCTAGTTCTTTCAAAGCACCTTGTTGATTTGATCCGTTAATGGATGACAGACTGTTAGCGTTAATAAATTGTGTACGCGGTAGCGAAGATGTACCTAAATAGGGTGGTGTTGCTAGACGCTGGCAAAGAAAATAGCTGCAAATAAAACCGAAGTAAATACAGGCATAAGCAAGAAATGGACGAGCGTGAAAGGAGAAGTGCGTAAATGTTGACCAACACAAAAAACGGGTAAAAGACAGGAAAGATAAGACCGAAATCGCTCTACGATAGTTTAACCGGTCAAAGATAATAATGTATGAATAAAGTACAGTTCCAAATTCAATTAATCCAACTGTAAAAGTTGGATACTGCTCCACAGAGCAGGCCGACATTAAGAGTACTTCGCCTATGACACAAGTCGACATCAAAACCGTTTGTTTTGGTAAATCAACTTCCTTGTTCAACTCAATCAATAAAGCTAGCCAAAAAGATGCAACTACGAACATCATCATATGTGAAAGCCATCCCAACTGCAGTGTGACTGCTGATAAATACACAGTTTCCTCCTTATGACTGTCAGCCCTTATTATTATCACAAGGCAACTAGTAATGAGACACGGTATGGCCAAATAGTGCAGAATTCGAGTGCCATTGTAGTCATAATTTCTTTGTTTTGTACGCTCATCTTCGCTATGGATCATCTTAGTGTGATTAATATATTCTCGGTTTCCAGTTGAATAATATAAGCCCTTAAATAATGTCTAAATCTTAACTTGTATGCAAATTGAAGTTGCAATGCTTGGAAGCTGGATTTTGTGGTTTTCGTCTTCCCGTAGGTAGAATCACCAGAGTAATACGGCAATCGCAACTATTTTATGTTGTTATGATGTAAATTGATTGAATCCAATGTTGATGACTATATCTACACTTGTCAATATCTACTAGCAACTGTACAGTGCATGCGGCAGGCTGTTCTCAGCTCGCGTAGCTCTGAACTAAAAAACCCTATCAACTAAACGTTTGTACGTACAGTACCGTATACTATAGTACTATGCAAATCTCTAATTTACTCAGTACAGAACTACTGAGTTAGACTTTAAAAGTAAAAATTTTATTTTGTAAGACTGATTCGTTCACTTCTACGGTAAGGTTACAGAATATTACTTATTGTGTACGAGCGTGTAACGTTGGTTTAAACGCGGCTGACAAAATAAATTTTAGCAAGATTCAAAGTAAGTTACTCAGTATCAGTTAAACTGTAAATAGTCGTAAACTGTAAGAAATACTTTAGTCGCGAGTTTTTAATACAGCACCTATGAAACTAACCAGCTGCTACAGGTACAGCAACTTACTCATGATGTAAAAATAATAAACTGTAGTAGAAGTATTTGCAGTGCTTATTTCAATCATTAAAGCAAAAATAATTACTGTAATCGGTTACCTTTTCAGTAGTAAAGCCTTACTATAGAATGTACTACTAATATATCAGTTGCTATGATTGCTTCAAAGAAGATATTACAACTAAATTAAAATTAAAATTATTACATACTTTCCTTACTGAAGGAGCTACAGATCAGACTACAGTATAGGTATATAGTAATAGCCTTGTACTGTATAAGAAGCTAATTTTCTTGTCAATTTAAATTACTGTTTAATCAATTATCGTTGTAAAATTGGGTTCAAACTGACAGCCTTGACAAACTATTATTGTAATTATGGATATATTATATACTGTACTGTTGATTGGATAATATGCTATACTTCCTCTTGTCTTTCCAATAATAATTCTACTTGCAATTGCTGTACCGTATCCGTCTATAAATCCAAGCACTTCAATCCACTTTTATGTTATTCGTTATTTGACACCACCGCGGTGATTTATTTTTTTTTTATCTAGTAAACCCGATGCTTTAATGCTGTACCAGCAGACACTTTACCGTGCTGACTGTAGCGGTATGGTTGGAACTTCTGCGCAAACACGGTTCTCGGGTTCTGTAACACTATTGTAATGTACAGTACTGTACTGTACTGTACACAGTGTACTGTACAGTACCGTACTGTAGTATATACTGTACAATACAGTACTATACTTTACTGTACTGTATAGTACTGTGTAAGTTAGCTAAATTAGTACAAATGATACTGGACTGGCGGCTGATCCTACTGTACATTGTACAAGTGTACGGTGTACAGTAATCATCTATGTACTGTACAGTAGTACTACAGCAAAGTTTCGCGCCACTTGACAGTACTGTACTGTACTGTATAGTGCAGCACAGTAAATCATTTTATCATTTTAACGTAAATTAACAATCCGCGACAGCATCGATGCTGTGTATCATTGTAAATTAAATTTAAATTTGATTAGCAACAAGCCAACACCAACTGTTTGCCAAGAGCAACGCATACACGTTAACAGTAAACAATCCAGCAACCACGGTGTCCACAGCGCTGTACTGTACGGTACGGTACTTCCCGTATTGTTCCTTTCCCAACATCGGAAAGAAATCTTCTTTACGTACGGTACCGACGAACGAACTACGACAGTGAAATGTCATCAGTACTGTACGTACGTACAGTATACCGCAAATCGCGTAAAATCACAATAACAGTGACTGACTGTACAAATATGATACGAAGTAGCTTATAGAAAGAAAGTTATCCTTATCTTTGATTAATTTGCACCCTGATACTGCCCCGTACCCGCACAACATGCCGTACAAATAAATAAATATAAAATAGTACAGTAGTTAGTAGGTAACGAGTAAAATTTTATTTTTCTATAGAATATTAGCTAGATCTTTATCCGCGGAATACAGTACTGTACAGTACTGTACAGTGTACAGTCAGGGCCAGGACTACGGACCAGATCAGACCATACAGTTACAGTACTATACAATAAGGTTTACAGTATACTGTACAGTAATACACAGTGCACAGTACTGTAATATTTTCTGTTCAGATTTTTGGGGGTCAAAAAAGACATAATATAATTAATTAATTAATTAATTAATTGCCGAATTACATATCAGATTGTAGAGGAAGATCTCAATTTTTCGAATATTGCTACCAAATGAATTATAATAGCCTCATAAAGTTGGTTTAAAATTTCAATTCACGCACTAGTATATTTTACGTTTTTACCCATAGTTACAAATTTAGCTCACATGATCCAAGCCGGTTTAAAGTACTGTATTTTACATTAATTATTGTTACTTTTTCCCATTTTAAGTATCTGATATGAAAATAAGTAAACACTCAGCCTAGCTATGTGTAGATATTACGTAGTTCTATACATATACGTGTATTTTTCACTACGAGTGAAATATCGAACTTTGATGCAGATTATCCGGCAATCACAGAGTTGAAAACTGCTCCTCAAATGGCGGTAATTAACTAAGTACAGTAAATTCCACTTTTGGTGATAGCAGCTGCCTAGAAACGTTCACTGCACGGCGTATTACGACCTCTGCAGCTGATACTCCGATTATATAATATATATACGCGTGTATATAATAAGTGCTGCGAAGTCAGTCAATGCGGTTAAAGATCAGATTGATCATCTACTGATATCAACAATTATAACCATAATATATAATTAGTTGCTCTCAGCAACTGAGATAAGTAAATGTGTACGCGTTTTCTGAATCAATCGATATAACAATCGGATAGCTAGCGGTAAAAATCTAGTAAATTTAATCAATGGAATCATTCATTATTGTTTACGATATCGCGCATACTGTAATTATTAAAGTGATTTTGAATAAAATCACTATCATGTCACTTAAAAAAATTAGCTTAAGACATACTGTATATCATGATTTACATAAGACTAATTTATTATACCTCTATAATAATACACGTATATTACTGTACCGGATTGCTCGTTAATCAAGTTGACCGAGTTATAGCAAGTTCTTAGCAATCTATCATTTCAGGCTAGGTTTGTAGTCATCGATTTTAAATTATTGCCTATAGGTCTTTATATATCTTCACTTGAATATTCATACTCGTACTACATTCTGGGCGTAGATTAAAACCATTAGATAGAGAAGAGGTCTTCTCTATCTACCATTAGTTTCATTATGGCGAGTAGACTGAACGAATTTTATATTTATACTTTAACAGAGTCTGCTTGATTATATTTATATATAATTAATCGAATAGCCTCTAATACTTAGCAATTGACGTAATCAATACTAGAAATTATCTAGGATACAATACCAATGTACGTAGTATGATACTTTAATTTATATTGTTGGAACGATTTTTTTTTTAATCATACGTTTATCTGGGCGATCAATAATACTTTCCTCTAAGATGTAATATTTAACCTTTGTCCTTTAAATATCTTTAGCTAAAAGATATATACCACATTTAATGTCACATATGTATTTGTATATGTAAGAACAGTAGAATATTTCCCTGTTACACCAATTACTTTTATAAAGATACAGTAGTAAATTCAGTAATACGGTAGTGATCATACTGTGCTGAATGCGAATTTGCATAGGTATTAAATTCCATCAAGACCCTACTAGAAATAGATCCAGCACCGGTACTACATCGACGCTATTTTCTCTATTGAAAGATATCTTCTCTTAAACTTCTCAAGTATTAGCCGAAACAACTGATTAATTTTAAGTCATACAGTCGTAAATTCAGAAATTTTCACTAGATAACCGAATGAAATTGAAAGTTTCTTTAAATAATGTCTATGTCTATAACAGTACTGTATAGTATACATTGCTTTTAACCATGCATAAAAGGAGATAATCTATTATGTCACATCTGTCAACTATATACATTGTAGTTAACTAGTGTTTAATGCGATTGTGAGAACTAAAATTTAAGAGAGAGAGCACTCACAGAGGTACAGTATGTACGCACTGCGTGCTTATTATTGCACACGTACGTCATTACTGAGTATCATATTACCATTGCAGTATATACGGAAATCGCATAATTAACTGGGAATTTACTATGTGACAAGATTACACCAAAGCAATATTGAATATATTTATAAGTTATACTGTGATCAGAATACTCTATTAATTAGTACGCATGTAGACTCTGCTAAGTGATTACAGAATACATGCAGGATTAAATAAATATAATCAGATCGAGTACAGTACGCGAAGTATCACGAACGAGACTTCCACTAGCAATCAATAATGCATAATCCTAATACACCATATAAAATAAACATTGTACACAATGCTGCGTTGCATAAATCTCAGAAGTGAGTATATGTTAATTATAAATTAAAATCTAAAGACTCTCTTCTGTAAAATTATATTTGCATCCAAGTATTGTTCAAACAATACTAACACAATTTACATAACTTCTACAATTTTTGCAAAAAAATACGTTTTAGTACAGTTTAATTCAAGTTAACAAAAGTCATCGGCTTTTTTACTGTATATTAGCGATAATCCCCAATTTGATATTAACAAAGTGCAGCACATTCATTTTATAAACGATGCAAAAATTGTACTATGTAAAAGTCATAAGAATGCTATTTACAGTTAGCCTCCAGTAAATGATCTATAGTTATATACGGGATTCAGAAAAGTATATGTATAGGCACATGATCTTTGCCCGCAATTATTTCCAGAATTAGAATTAACATACGCGTATATTTTAAATACCATTGCTCTACGATAGGGTATTAAAGAATCTCAGTAAGATAATTTCATAT